GGGGGAAACTCCTCCCTCCCTGCACCCAACCCCCTAGGGAGCATGCTACGCGCTTGGGGATGGGGTGCAACCTGCTACACGCTTCTACCTCTTGGTTGCTTTGATCCATTGCCGAAAATATTTTGGCACCTATCATCCCCCCCAACCACGGATACAAATCGACACCCTTGCAGGGACATCAGTTATGAATAGATACACCTATCAATTTGTCTCGTTCTTACCTCATTGAAATAAAATAATAACCACGCAGTGTTTCTGGAAATTGCCTTCGATATTGGGGTCCCCTGGAAAGACAGGTCCCTAATTAAAGTTTCTTTATGCACGTAGTATGATATATTGTCTTTGAATTTCAAACACGTAGCAAATCAGAATTGTATATTCGATCGATCACAATCTGAAAGCCACCTCTCAACGTTGTCAACTTCCACCAAAATGACCAATGATAATGATAGTTCGCGTTTAGTCTTTCATTACAGAATACGTGTAATGGTTAAGAATTTGATGATGGCCAGTGGCTTATTATATGAGTTTTGTGTCCGAAATATCTGAGAGGCAACATTTAGCAAAGTTTAGCAATCAGTCTGTAGGTTCGATAATACATAAAGCACAGGAACATACCACTTAGCTTTTCATTTTAATAAAACGATCACGTCTCTCTTACTCGTTATCTCAAAGAACATAATGAAGGCATGGTCCCTGCAGAAGGAAAAATAGAATGCTTGTTGTTTGCTTGCACTCTTACTAATTATTTATTAATTCATTTGATTATATTTTTAACATTCTTATTTAATAACATACATTGATTATGAATACTCTTGAGAAAGGATAGCCCATTTCACCATTCACTAAATATAATAGTGTGGGTGGGTGTGGGACAAAATGCCCTTGCCTCCCCCCGCCCCGCTAAAAAAAAAGAGAGAAAGAAGGAAAAGGAAAAAAGGGAGCTAAAAGGGACCGGGAAAAAAAGGTGAAAAGGAGGGGAAATAGATCATTTGCAGTTAATCCCACCAACAACGTGTGGAAGGTGGGGTCCGAAATGACCTTGCCCCCCCCCCCCCCCCTTCCCATCAAACCTTAAAGAGAGAGAAGGAAGGGAAGGGGAATGGAAAGAGGAGAGAAAGGGAAAGAAAAAAAGAGAAATAAGAAAGGTAGGGGAGATCAGTTGCGATTTTCCGCCAACAAAGTGTAGATCGGGGGGGGGGGGGGGCACTGGCGTATTGATCGGGGAGGGGGCTCGGGGGAAATAAAATTTAAACGTGGTTTATTTCTAATTCCATAACGGTGGTTTACACATAATGCTGAAATGACATAATTTCCCGAGATTTTTCCTCATTCTTTAGTAAATTATACTTTTTTATGCGTTTGTAAATTAACAGCCAGGCAAGAAATATGCTTCTTGAGATGCCTACATCTCAGGGCCCGCGGAACGGCGAGGATCGGGAGCCTCCAGCTCCCACCCCCCCCCCCCCAATGTTTTTTGGAAAAAAGCATTTTAAAGAGAAATAGAAAGAAAGAGAGCAAGAAAGAAAGAATAGTTAACTACCAGTGTCACAACAAAATAAGGTATCAAAAGCTGCTCATCTGACCGTAATTAAACGCCTAAAACCCCCTGAGCTTCGGTGGCTCTGCCCCCGGGACCCAACCACGTGCCCTTGGGCAGGCCCCTTGATACTCATCTGACCGCAATTTAGTGCCTAAAACCCTTGATCTTCTGGGGGCTCCGCCCGCTGGACCTCACGCCAATCAGTGTCCTGCCAGTGTCACAAATAAGGTATAAAATATGTTTATCAGACCGTAATCAAATACCTGAAACCTGAGATTCAGGGGTTTCCGGCCGCACCCTCGACCCCACCAGGGGCCCTGAGGCGGGCCCCTGAATGCTTATCTGACCGTAATTTGCCTTTAACCTATGAGTTTCCAGGGGCGGACAAGGTATCAAAAGATGTTCATCTGACCGCAGGCGCGTAGCCAGGGGGGCAGTGGGGGCGCCCCACCCCCCCCCCCCAAAAAAAGGGAGGAGAGAAAAGGAAAAGAACGTATGAAGAAAAAGGAGCAGACAAAAAGCATTTTTGAAATTTAGACAAGGATTAAGAGTCGAAAACGATACAACGAATCGTCTTCTTTCTCTAATGATTTAATGAAACGTAAAAGCTGCCAAACTTTGCGCGGGAGGGGGAAGGGATGAATTTAGACGAGGATTATGAGTCAAAAACGGTACAACGAATCTAATGATTAAATGAAACGTACAAGCTTCTGAGCTTTGGGCGGGAAGGGCAGAAGGGAAAACTGAATTCAGACGAGGATTAAGGGTCGAGAACGGTACAACGAATCGTCTTTTTTCTCTAATGATTTAATGAAACGTAAGAGCTGCCGAGCTTTGCGCGGGAGGGGGAGGGGATGAATTTAGACGAGGATTATAAGTCAACGGTACAACGAATCTAATGATTAAATGAAACGTAAAAGCTTCCGCGCTTTGCGCGGGCGGGGGATAACTGTATTCAAACGAGGATTATTTTCAAGAACGGTACAACGAATCGTCTTGTTTCTCTAATAATTAAATTAAATGTCAAAGCTTCCGCGCTTCGTGAAGGAGGTGGGGTAACTGAATTTAGACAAGGATTAAGAGTCGAGAACGGTACAACGAATCGTCTTCATTCTCTAATGATTTAATGAAACGTTAATGCTTCCGCGCTTCCTCGCGCGCACGGATTGGAGGGGGAGGGGGAACTGAATTCAGGCGAGGATTAAGAGTCGAGAACGGTACAACGAATCGTCTTCTTTCTCTAATGATTTAATGAAACGTACAAGCTTCCGCGCTTTGCGCGGGAGGGGGGGGGGGGAAGGGGAAAACTGAATTCAGACGAGGATTAAGAGTCGAGAACGGTACAACGAATCGTCTTCTTTCTCTAACGATTTAATGAAACGTACAAGCTTCCGTGCTTCGCGCGGGAGGGGGGGGGGGAAACTGAATTCAGACGAGGATTAAGAGTAAAAAACGGTACAACGAATCGTCTTCTTTCTCTAATGATTTAATGTAACGTAAAAGCTTCCGCGCTTCGCGCGGGAGGGGGAAAACTGTATTCAGACGAGCAGGCGCGTACGCAGGGGGGGGGGGGGGGTTGAAACCCCCCCTTCGCTTTTTTTTTTATGTGTGTATCTTGGAGCAAACCCCCCCCACTTTTGTGATGTTTTTTTGTTTTTTGTTTTTTTTCTAATTTAAAAAAAAAAAAAAAAAAAAAATATGCCAATGGCTGACCTAAAAAAAGTGACCTCCCCCCCCAACGGAACAAAATGTCAAATTTTCAAATTTCGAGATAAAAAAATAAAAAAAGGGTCCTCTCACCCCCCCCCCCCCCCCCCATGCATACCTGCATTTGTTGCAACATATAGGCCATTTTCGTAATGAAAAAAAATTAATGCATACGTTTTTCTGAAGTGCCTCCATACAAATTATTTCATTCACCTGATAAGAATAATAGTATTTCAATAGACAGAATTCGAACTGCATACATTAGTTGTTGCCAGATAGGACAAACATTATGGCTTGACCTACCTAGCAACACTTAATATATGCAGTTTGCATTCTGACAATTGAAATACTACTATTTTTATCAGGTGAATGAAATAATTTGTATTAAGGCACTTCACAAAGACTTATGCATTAAATTTGGTTACATAACGAAAATGGTCTATTACATTATGTTTCTTTAATTAGTCTCTTCTCTGTATGCATATTCATTTCACATCATTTACTGACTCATTTCGTATTCATTTACTTGACCGAATAAACCGGTTTACTAACATATTCAAATTGATGCATACTGTTAAAACAAAGGTTGTTCTTGCCATGCTAAAGCTTGCCCGACATAGCAACAAATAACGTTTGCATACTGGATTCCAAGTATTGTAGTTCATTCATCAATAACAGGTTAATGAAATACCTCGTCACTGTAGCTCCCCGAGAAAGAAACATTGACAAATTTGAATATGTTAATAAACCGGTCTATTACAATTTGTTACGTTAGTCTCTTCTCCCTATACATATTCACTTCACTTCATTTGCTTAATAATTTTGTATTCATTTACATATTCATTTAATTCAATCACTCAACCTAATAGGTCATTTTCGTAATGTACCAAATGTAATGCATACGTCTTTGTGAAGTGCCTCAATACATATTATTTCATTCATCTGAAAAGAAATATAGTATTTCAAAAGACAGAATCCGAACTGCATACATTAGTTGTTGCCAGGTTGGGCAAACATTATGGCTTGACCTACCTAGCAACACTTAATGCAGTTTGCATTCTGACTATTGAAATACTATTATTCTTACCAGGTGAATGATATAATTTTTATTGAGGCACTTCACAAAGACTTGTGTATTAAATGTGGTTACATTACGAAAATGGCCTATTCTCTCTTCCATTTATCTCCCCACTGCATACCAAAGCCTTCCAGCTCACATGGTATTTTCTACTTCTTCGATTCTTATTCATTATTCATGGTGCATTAGGCACCTCAATCTCACTTTTTATTGGTTCTCTTATCATTCTTATCCATTTTCCTTTTGAACATTCAACCTTACTTTTAAATGATGTTGCATACATAGACCGGCCTGCACTGTACTTCATCTGAGATCTGAGTTGGTTCCATTTATTGAGTGCTCTGTCTATGTTAGTAAATTGGAGACTTAGGAGAGTGGATCGATTTGAGTCTGGTAGTGATTTTCGGGTGATTGGTTTGTTAATTTATTTTGGTTATAGATGAATTATAATTACTTTACAGTACAAAGACTCTCTCTCTCTCTCTCTCTCTCTCTCTCTCTCTCTCTTTCTCTCCCTCTCTCCCCCTCTCTCTCTCTCTCTCTCTCTCTCCCTCTCTCGCACTCAGAAACGCATTGCTTGATTGAAACGTTGTCTGCGCCTCATACGAGCCCGTATAAAGCCTACGCAATCTGGGGCCATTAACCGAGGTGAATTCATTACGTCGTATCATGGTCTTTTTCCTCGCCTTTTTTGTATTTACTACTAACGTGCTTTCATTTTCGAAGCGTGAATTCATCACTCAAAGTGATATGCATGAGTGAACGTAGGGTAACAATCGTTGATTGTTAGAGGTACATATTCCTGCGCCGAGAACATCATGCGGAAACAAATCATTTGAGATTGGACAGCCTTATAAACCTGACAACAACAACAATCATGCCACGAAGTTCTATTTTTGACATTGAAGTGTGCTGATGGAGGGTGTGATCCAGTTTCTTGAAATGAAACTCATTTATTTTCGTTCTTTGATTTGAAGGGTAAAGCGTCATTTTGAAAGGTCACCACACCTGTTATAAACTAAAGATATCGGCTGCGGATTTTGGAGTTGTATTTCAGACTGGGCAAACTATAGCGTTGAGTTTGTAACGTGTATACGGAATCTCGTCAATGTTCGTGTCTCAATGTGTTCAGTACCCTTCAGCACTTGTGGCACTTTTCGATACTCTGAAGAACAAATTCATGGTAAGATTGTCTTGATTTTACATTGAATTACCTCTATCATTAATAATATTTTTGTTAAAGCGTGCGCGTGTGAGTGTTTAATGCATGTTTTTGGACGGGGCGGGGTGCGTAATTGATATGATAGTTTTCTGTACCTTTACCTTTTAATACCGCAAATACTGGAAGAATGCTGAGACAGCAGTCAAGCTTCCATGCAGGTCTATCATCTTGGTCTATCTCCATGCACTCATTCTCTTTAATAATCATTCTCATTATATACAAGTCAGGGAGGCAGAGGAACTGGACAATGTATCATGTACAATGTCCCATGAGCAAAGAAATCAAAAGAATCAATAAGAGTATTGGGAGATATAACACTGTTCCTTCCATCAACGATCAAGCCTGGTTTTGAAGGCGTCTATATGGTGGGAGCCTGAACTACTACTTCGGGCTTCTTATAGCTAAGGCCATTAAAAAAACAAAACATGTTTAGCGTCCCCGCCCGCTCCTTTTTTGGATTTTTTTGAATTTTTTTTTTTAAAGAAAAAAAACATGAAAAACACTGCTAAAATGGATCTATTTCTGACTTTAAAAATAATGTTTGCGGCTATCTTGAAAAATAGCCCGACTGTCAGGGAAAATGTACCGAGCGGCCATTTTGAGCGGCCATTTTGAAGAAAAAAAAAAGGGCCTCCTTCTTCCTATTTTTCAATAAAACAGGACGCTAAACATGTATTTTTTTTTATTTGGCCCTAGGTTGACTGCTTGTACTGTACTTCTTCACTGGTAGGCCTCTAACTACAATGTCTCCATTCTCGAAAAATTACCGTGAAAAAAAATCCTGATAATAAAACTACAACAAAATCAGCCGTTTACATCGGTACTTTGGTATGTGGTATTGGCAAGTATGACTACTACTCCACTGCCTACTAGTATCAGGCGCGTACGCAGGATTTTTTTAAGGGGGGGGGGGGTTTTAACATTTATAAATCGGGCCGAAAATTTCGCAACGACTCAGCCAGCCGCTGAATAAGCGTGGGGGGGGGGGGGGGGGGGGTAAGAGGTCATTTTTTTTTTTTTTTTGGTCCCAAAAAAATCGCAACGACTCAGCCGACCGCTGAATAAGCGGGGGATAAGAGGACACATTTTTTTTTTTTTGGGGGGGGGGGGGGGGTCTCGAAATTTGAAAATTTGACATTTTGCTCCGTTGGGGGGGGGTAAGGTCAGCTTTTTTAGGTCAACCATGGGATTTTTTTTTTTTTTTTTTTTTTTTTAAATAAAAAAAAAAAAAAAATCCAAAAGGGGGGGGGGGGTTTACACAAAAAAAATTACCAAAGGGGGGGGGGGTTAACCCCAAACCCCCCCCCCCCTGTGTACGCGCCTGACTAGTATTGTAATCCTTTCTCGACATGTCATAGAGAAGGAAGTCGTAATCCGTTTATTATGAATGGTGCACTATATTGTACCAAGTGGGTCAATATTGACAGACGTATTGAAATACTTTGCTTTGTCCAATAAGTTTGCATTCATTTCTTGAAGTTCAGCCTTGTAAAGCGGTCAAAGTTCACCAAATCCACCGGGCTAGAAAAATGGTTGGAAAAGAAATGAGGGGAAGCGAGGGAGATTTACGAATATTAACATAATTATAGACATTTTCATTGAAACAGTAATAAGCTGCACTCTACTCAAATTGGGGCCTTCAAACTTGCCAAATGCGGACAGGCCGCATGGTCCCCGTACAGACTAGGAGAACAGAGGATGTTGGAAAGCGTACAAAGACGTGCAACAAAGATTATTCCTGGCCTTAGGAATTTATCTTACCAGGAGCGCTTGACCAAACTCAAATTACCAACTCTTGTTCACAGGCGTAGAAGGGGGGGACATGATCGATGTGTACAAGTACTTGAATGGCTTGTACAATGTGCAAGAGATTCCCTTTAAGTTGAGTACAGAAGATAGAACTCGCGAGTTCACTCTGGAAAACTTGAAAAGAAATATTCAAGACTATAAAATTATATATATGAAAAAATAATTTTTTAGCAATAGAGTCGCGGAGCTGTGGAACGGTCTCCCAGAAAGCGTTGTGGCAGCTGGGTCAGTCAACTAATTTAAGAATAGACTGGATAGTCACTGGTCAAAGAATGCTAGCCTTCTGTATGAGCCGGTCTAGGTGTTGTCTGTTGTTTCATGTTATTAGACAACCTCCTCCCTCCACAAATCGCAGTTACCATGGAAGAATCCTGGATCGATGAACGGGCTTAGACCTACAACATCGTGTATTAAAGTAAAGTAAGTAAGTAAATGCATAAAATGAGATTATGCAATGAGACAATACATCTATGTGTGTGTGTATTGGGTTTTTACAGACGTGTATCAATCAGATATATTTACGTCTGGGGACCGACCTTTAAACGTCACCATCCGAAAGACGTCACTCAGTTTCGAACCTGCGCCTTTGGCTGAATCGGTTTGTAACTTCCACTGTTAGCTAGAATACAGACGCACGCCACAACGCCTAGCTATTGTGTGCAGTGAATCGCTTTTTCTAAAATAAAGACACTTCATAATCTTGTGGAGAATGTATGAAATCTTTATTATTCAACCGAATTGGTGTCTACAGTCCGTCAGGGTTTAAAGACGGTATTGTAAAAATACTAATAATCACATAAGTCCCTGTGGTATTCTCTTGACGGATTAATGATACTCCAGCAGAACCACAGGCTCTGGTACCCACTTCCGAATCACTGAATAACTGATGATACCATCATCATCATCGGAGCTTTTACCTGCTAGGCTGCTACAGAATAAATCACATTACTTCGTGGAACGGACAGGCTATTAGAGTAATTACACGTTTATAATAATAATAATTAGGCTTATCGCAACGTGGGTTGTGTATGGAACGAGCTCTGACTCACAGCGCAAAATACGTGATTTCTAATTATTGATGAAATCCACACTTCGCTTGGAAGAATATGGCGTTCTTTGTTTGGGTCTAACGTAATGGTTAAGGAGTTAATCAACTTGATGCATCTAATTACAATTATCAGGTAACGGAGGTAGTTTATTGTGGAAATGACATGTCACACCTTCATGAAAACGTTTACATTATTATACGGATTATGCGGATTATTTCTTATATACATTATCTTCTAAAACCATGCTGAATAATTCGAACATAGAATGAAATGCTAGTTATCATTAGATTTCCTATCAATGAATTGTTTCCAATAAGGTATCGGTGATTTTTGCTTTATAAAAGTAGAAAATAAGAAATGAACTTGTTTTATCCCCTTCAAATTAATGTAAATTCTTTCTAACGTGGTATATGAATGGAATATACACTGTTGATATGTTGTTGTAACAGGGATAACGCTGTGAATAACAAAGTGTATGTTTGAGTTATTTTCGCATGTTTACCCCCACACCAATGCAGTATTGTCAACCATTTATAAAGAAGTGTCTTCATTTTTGAAAAAGCGGTTCACTGCACACAGTAGCTATGATACTTGACCTAGCTATGTACGGAGTTGAAATATGCCATATTATTGTTGTTAAAGAATAGAGATCGCAAAAAGAAAAGGAAAACAGACGGCCCATATACTAGTATTTGTAAAACGTCGATAATAATACCGTAAGAATTGTTAGTCACATTTTTTGTGAGGTAGGTTTTCTACACCTTTTTCTCCATCTGTCCCCCCCCCTCTCTCTCTCTCTCTCTCTCTCTCTCTCTCTCTCTCTCTCTCCCTATCTCCCTCTCTCCCTATCTTTGTGTAGTTTCTTTTTGCATACAGCCATTACTAACATTCCACAAACCGAATGTTTGTGTGGGTATTCTAAGCACGTGCAAATATAACGGCTGATTCACAAACATTTCCTACTAAGATGTTCATGCTCTGTACTTAAAATGGTAGTAATGTAACTCTGACCATCATTTTACTGAGAAAAGATCGTTATGTTTATAACTATTGCAATCACTTAACTATCAGATGAACAAAATATATTCATAAGTGGTGGTGAGTATATGTTTTTCTCAACTGTATGTCTTTGTAGGTTATAGATCACAGAGGCCTACATTGAGTGAGAGAGAGAGAGGTAGAGAGAGAGAGAGAGAGAGAGAAAAAAAAAAGCATGGATGTGTGTGAGGGAGTGGGCTTATTTAGTATTTAAACTTTATTTAAAGTGGGTATACTTTGATAAAATTGCGTATAAATAAAGTTTGAAGTCTTCAATTCTCAAGAGTATTAATTTGTTTTAAAACAAATCGTATATATCAACACAAGTTACATAACACAATTTAGTTCATATAGCTTTGTAAAGCTGATCCTAAATTGGGCATTGGAGTTGACAATAAACTGGTCTTTTAACATATAAGTTAACGGATGTTTCTTTCCTGAGGACCTAGTGACGAGTTATTCCATAAACCTGTTATCAATGAATGATCTACAATACTAGGAATTCAGTCTGCTTACATCACTCGTTGCTAAGTCGGGCTAGCCTTGGGCAAGCCTTAAGATTGCCAAGAAACCTTTAAAAAAATACGCATACCATTTAAAAAAGTTAGTAAACTGGTCTATTGGATTGAGAAATACTGGCTCAAAGTAATTCTAAATTGTTTATTATGCAGTAGATTGGTTGTTTCAATAGATCGGTTTACTCACATACATTTTATTCAAATTCATGGATGTTTATTTCCACCTACAAATTCAGAAAAAAAAAAAAGTTTTGAAGAAATCAGAAGACATAATGTCCGCTACACACGACTTGTTCCGACTGCGTTGTTACCTCCGCCAATCGAGCGTGTGAATTGTACTAGTTATTTTTTCCCCATTCCCTTTGTGTTACTTTGTGTACGATATTACGCTCACAGGGTGCGTCAAAGACCGTGCCACTCGCTGACGCATGCCTACGTCATGGGCCTACGTCAGAAAATGATACCATACATCAGCGACTGGAACGGATTATGACGAACCATGTGAAAGTGATATCATATAAAACGTGAATCCCAAATGAACATTGGTAACATTGCGTTGAATAACTGGCACATGCGCTGATTTTCGTTGTAGACTCGATTAACGTAGGAAATAACGCAGGCATATTGGGGCAATAAAAACAAAGTGTGTGTGTAATTGTGCAGGTCAGGCGCCGGTAACGGTGCCTCCACGCGTATTTGTGCGTGGGCATGGTGGGGGGGGGGGGGGGCGCAAGCTGAGGGCAATGAAATGTACCGAGCCGTAGAACATGCTTCTCAGTTTTGGGACAGAGGATTCGACTATTATTATTATTATTATTTATTCGACCATAAAAACACATTCAGCATGTACAGTGTATATAGGTGTATACAGAGTGAAATAGGAAAAATACAAGGTAAGATAAAGAAGGAATAGCATGTGGGTCAGGGTGCACAAAAGCGAAATTCTTCCCTGTTGCCCGGGGGCTGGGTAGAGACCCCCTTTTACTCTCTCCCCTTGTGCCGCCACTGAAACAAAAGGCGTGTAGTTGTCATAACTGCCCTCTTGAAATGATAATGATCACCTGAAGAACTTCATTGATATAATCATCCGTACACAGTTTCCAGTACATACAGAACTTGGTATACTTAAACTTATCGTCCAACCCACATATAGATACCAATAGCACAACTGTTGGGAAATCAACCTTTTTTATTTGTTACATTATTCAATTGACGTGATTTATGGTTTACCCGCGCAAAATACAACATCATGAATCATTTTCTCCTATAGCATGTTGGGAAATTAATCCTTTTCTATTTGTTATATTTTTCAATTGACGTGATTAATGGATTTACCCGCGCAAAATACAACATCATGAATCATTTTATTACACTGAGAAGTCCTTTCTGAGAAGCCATTATAGGTCAAGGAAGACATTCGAAAAAGATGATTTATATAGCTTTTCCACACTCTAATTTTTTTATTTTCAGTTTTGTGCACAGTCGTATTTTATATGTTAGCCTTAATTAAACATGATAAATATACTTTTTTTAATCTTTAATAATTAAATTGGTTATTTCAAGTTTGAAATTGTAACTTTAAAGCGGATTGAAAATGATTTAGAAACGTCAAATGCATCATAAAACCCACATCTGAATACTTCACTTTTCTTAAAGAAGCCATAATTATCATGAAACGTCTGTGTCCTGCTTTGTTCTCTTCCGAGGAAAAGGTCTTTCCCACTCTGATAATCTATCAATCGATATCGATGGATACCCTCCTTGAGGCATTCCAAACTCACTCGTTGTTTTGAAGGATTTTGATAAGAATTAATGTGTCATTTATTAAACGACGTTACCCTGAGTTTTTTATGGCTCCCAATAGCGAGACCAGTCTTAATCAATATTCGAGAGAAACAAAGATGCACGTGTATGAACTAACCGTATTCTGTGTTTCATTTATGCACTTTAATAGTGTGCCGAAAAATGTAGATTCTGTGCGTTAGTGATTACAACTTTGGAATACTATGGCGTAAGATTCAGATGCCATGAAGAAAGAGAGAGAGGGGAGGAAAAGAGAGATAGAGAGAGAGAGGATGGGATAGAAAGAGAGTGAGAGGAGGAGGAGGAGGAGGAGGATGGATAGAACAAATTATCTGTCTTTGAATCGTAGCGGGGTCAAATCGTTGAGGGGACCCTGGGCGAGGGCGGAGGGGGGGGGGGGGGGAGAAGGGGAATACACCATATTAACATAAGTTTATGCATGTGTGATGTGATATGCAACACCATGCATATACTTTGTTTTAAAATCAAGCTAACGTTTAATGAGCATAACGTCTGCTTAACTTTTGACATTAAACAAATGGGTAAAAAGATATGAAATCAAAGAAAAGAAACGTAATCCAAAAAATAGGGCAAAGTGGAGAAGGAAGGGAAAACAAAAAGTTGGAGCAAAGGGGATAAAATCAGAGATCAATCAGGGGCCGTGAAGAAGGTATCAATGAGTGAGTAAGCATGATGTACATGCACTGCATGAGGATGGCGTAATGGTTGCATCACGCTGAGTGTATATGACATTGATCTAGTTCACGTGCTGAAGGGAAAGACGTGAACGTGTAGTGAGGAATACAGAATGCAATGACTACTGACTTGGGAAAAACTTAAGGAAAATAGAGCATCATCCTGGAGACTATATCGTTCGAGCTTCACATAAGAAATTAATCACGTGCAGATTAAACCTGATTCCGATTTACGTTGCAGATAATGTCCTAATTTAGTAAATTCACCAAGGAATTTTTATGTATGATTTTCAACAAATGACTGATAACTGACTTAGTTATAAATTGTTGTACACGTGGATGACATATTGAAACTTTTGGATAACGTGTTGTCGATATGTCGAGAACCTTTACGAACTTAGTGAATACAAGTAACCACTTTTCAACTAGAATACAAATACAATTGGAATTATAAAAAAAGCGGTTTATTGGTCATTTAGGAATTCGGAATTAAAAACAAATATGCGTAGGGCATTGTAACAGTGTTTTTTAGCGTCTTCGATTCGACCCGAATAAGACGGTGATTGTAAGAATTTTCTATCAAGTTAAAGAAGTTTGTTTTTATGGGTCAATATAATCAAAGTTGGAATGGTTTCAGAAATAAAAAGTGAAAAACAATTTTTCCAATCATGTTTCCCGTTCTTTTGGTCACAGGTGTAATCATGTGCAGACGTCATGCCGGGAAATAGAAGTAAATGTGTTTCCTTTAAGACCAATGAAGGCAGTTTTGATTATGAAAAGATGTCGTCATCTGCAACAGACCTATCAGAAGCGAGTTTGAAGACTTCCAGCCCATCACATTCAAGATCCGGGTTACTTGAAGATATGAATTCGAGCGAACGAAGCCTGGACAGTAACGATCGCGATTTTGAAACGCCTGACAATGCAAAGACATTAAGTGAATACTTGCTAAGAAAAGATGAAATCAAAGGTTGCTTTGAGGAGGAGGATGATAACGGCTCTGATGACGATGACGAGCCTTTTGATGATGACAGTTGTGGCAAATATAAAATAACAAAGTCGGATATAATCACTTTTCTCTGCCTTGTTGTGTCAACTTTCATAAGCTGGCTGGCATTTTCGATAATGGCACCCTTCTTCCCAAACGAAGTGAGTCATAGGTCAAAGCATCGATTGTTTTAAGTGCTCTTAAATTAAACCAACATTTTTTCAAGATTAAAATAGTGGGTTTCATGGAATGATACAAAACAAAACATTAGGCCAAAGGAATAAAGCGAGTACAAATAATGGTCCAAGATTATAGGGCGTACATCGTCACTTTGGTCATGTTCATTCAATACAACGATCTCTTTGCCATGTTTGCCCACGTTTTTGAAATAATAAAAAAAAAGGGAAATAATTAACAAAATCGTACATTTCAGTTTTAAAAGGTAGTCTACTTTGGGCTTCAAAGTTGAATGGGAAAATAAGTTTTACCTCTTTTTAGTTGAAAAGGTTACTGTATCCAATGTTTAGTTTCAACTGAGTCTTTTATTAAAGATGATACTCTCTTTTGTCAGAACATTCATAAGACAAATCGGCAACTTCTATTTTCCCACTTACATGGTTTGATATAACTCCATGAAACCTTTTCGCAAATCGAAATGACAAATACCAGGTAAAGAATGATGACCATTTCCCCTTCTATCTAAACAAGTTATTTAATCTTGTCTCTTTCTTCTTCAGGCTCATCGTCGAGGACTTATGGATATTGAAGTCGGGATCATCTTCAGCTTACAAGCTCTTACATCTACCATCGTATCTCCAATAGTTGGCAAATTTGTGAGTTTGAAAGAGAAATTTGGAGAGAGAGAGAGAAAAAAAAAAGGTAGAAAATGAGGTGGTTGGCTTGGAGAAGGAAAAGGAGGGTGGAGGGGGGGGGGGGCAGATGGATAATAGCATCTTCCGTTTTGACCCAAATAATTCAATATTATTTCTTTACCGAATGAAAGATCCAGTTCAGATTCCACTTTTACCCTTTGATTTATTCTGGGGGTCAAGACTTTGAATATTAGGGTCTGTGTGACCAGAACGCTGGCTTGTTAACTTTTACCGCGTTCAGTTTAAATATGACTTATATTAAGCCCTGCTTTCCTGCAGCTCCGAAGCAAAACTATGCCCTTATTCTATTTTGAACACCTTATTCTTCATGTCCTGAAAACATAGATACCCCTTATTGGTGCGAAGGTGACGCTGGTGACAGGTCTATTCTTAGAAGCCACAGGGAATATACTATTTGGGTAAGTGATGACCATCTTATCTACCACAGTTTCATCCCCTTTGTTCCTAACCTGCCATGATGCCAGTAAACCTATAACAACTATTGAGCAACTACTTTCGGAACATGATTTATATTGTACAAACAATAATAACCGGAATGCCGCGGCACCCTGCCTCAAGACATCCCTAGGAGTGCCGCGAGAGAAATTAAGTTGTATCAAAAATGATTGTGTAATAAGGTAAATTTCGAGAAAATTAGAAAAAACGCCATGTATTTTCATGAGGAAATAACTTTTTAAGGACAAAAAATGTCGTTCATCCTCGCTCGCTTTGCTCACTCACAACATTTACTAAAAAGGGGGCGATTTCAGGCAGCGCAGCGCCTGATTACTTCCATATTTGGGCATCGAAGCGTCCGAGTTTTTCTTTCATTTGACAGCAAGATGCCCGACTATATCGTCAGCAAGGAGCCCGGATATATCTTGTATTCTTCTTATCAAAGTTACATTTCACCACGCTTCTTCGCTTCACTTGATCGCAATCAACATTCAAGTGCCTCGATACAATTTATTTCATCCACCTGTTACAAACAATAATTGTATCTCAATAGTCAGAATACGAATTGCATATAGAATTTGTAAATCGCAAGTTAGGTCAAACATTATGGCTTTCTCTACCTAACAACACATAATACATACATGCAGTTTGACTTTTGACTTTTGACTTTTGAAATACAATTATTCTTCAAAGGTGAATGAAATGATTTGTATTGAGGCACTTCACAATGACATATGTAATGAATTTGGTTCCATTACGAAGATGGCCTATTTTCCTTTCCAGGTATTGTGTCAAGCTTCACTCTAAGACGGCATTCATCGCATTTGCTTACATCACTCGTATTCTGGTTGGTCTAGGTGTGGGGACATCAGTCACGGCTACTATGACAATCAATGCAAAGACATTCCCAAACCACATCGCTCGGACTATGGTGAGTGTACAGCATTCCCCCTTTATCTATCTATCTATCAGGCTATAGTTCATCCAGACGTTGGACAAAGCCCTCCTCATGAAATTTCCATTCTCTTCTGTCTCTAGCTGTCCTAGTCCAAACGGCCGTTCCCATGTATGATGTTAGGTCATCTCTCCATCTTCTCTTCTGCCTTCCTCTTCTTCTCTTTCCCACCCTTGGTTGCCATTCTGTTAAACGATTTGTCCATCTATTGTCCTGAAGTCTTGCTACATGCCCAGCCCATCTCCACTTTGATTCTCTGACTTTCTCCATGATATCTTTAACCCTTGTTTTCTGGCGTATGACTTTGTGGTTGATTTTGTCTCGCAGAGATAAATGTGACATCTTTCTCTCCATAGCTCGTTGAGTAGTCACAAGCTTCTGTTCTAGATCCTTTGTCAATGACCATGTTTCTGATCCATATGTCATAGTTGTTAGAATGCATTGGTTGAACATTCTTCTTCTTAGTGACATGGGTATGTTTTTATCGGTCAACATGTCTTTGTATCTTCCAAAGTTCATACATCCTGCTTTTAGTCTCATCATAACTTCTTCTTTTGTGGTGTCCTCCATTTTCAAAGTTTGTCCCAGATACTTGTAACTGCTTACTCTCTCTAACGTTCGACCTTCTATCTCGATGTTTTCATCTGTGTCATAGTTAGTCATATATTTAGTTTTCTCTTTGTGCATAGTTAGGCCAATACGTTTGCTCTCCTTCTAACCCCTTTCTAACCCCTTCCCCTCCCCCTCCCCCCTCCTCATTGCCCCGCCTTCTTCTTGCACCCTCTTGTTCCTTCCCAGCCCCTCTCCCCCATTCGCTCTTACCCCGTCTCTCTCCCGTTTTCGTCCCTGTCCCTCTTTATATTGTTGGTAAACTCATTATGGAATCGGGGGAAGGCCTGGAGGGGTTCAGGAACTACCTTTATGATAGAAAACATCATTTAAGCATAGGAGTTGGAATATACACGGATAATTATTATACACTTCCCTTTTTAATTGTCCTGCCAATATCTTTCTACCCCTTTTATTCTCCTTTTACTACTATTACCCAAGTAGTAGTAGTTTTCCTACTACTACTACTACTACTACTACTACTACTACTACTACTACTACTACTACTACTACTTCTACTTCTACTACTACTACTACTTCTACTTCTACTACTATTACTATTACTACTTCTTCTTCTTCTTCTTCCCCCTTTTATTTATTTCTTTCCTTTACTCGGGAGGTTAATCTGTTCACCTTGTACGTTTCTTAAATTTGATACTACCTTACCATTTCGTCTCTTACTGAATAATCAGACCTTTTAATACAACTCCCCACAGAAGCCCGACCTTGTACAAACTTTTCTTGTTATTAAGGCTCCTCACATTGTTTTTAAAGGAAAATAATACATGGTCTCATATCTACAAATTACTTGAAACACCTTGCTATTTACCGTATATTATACTTCATGTACGTTATCTTACGTAGAACGTGGAGACAATTTAGCTGGCTTTCATTGCCATTTCTCCAGACTGTACAACAATAGTCAAAGATTGGTTGAATTAACAATTTATACAAAAGGAGAGCAGTACTTCTCGGCACATGAAATCGAATGCGCTTTAAAGTGTAAAATGTTTTTAAAACCTTTTTCCTAACAATTTGGAGAGTCATGTTAGACAGTTATTTATTATCACGCCAAGATATTTACAATGTGTTACTCTCTGTAATTTTGAATTTTGATTTTTACATTTTCAAAAATCCGGAGTTTTGCTTTAGAGCCTAGTAACATGAATTGACATTTATAAAGATTGATCAACAATTCATTATTTGAAATCCATCTAGAAATTTACTTTAAATCTCTGCTTATAGTTTTTTTTTAAAATCTGTTGGCTCTTTTGATGCAAAATGAATACACTTATCATCTGCATATAAGGAAAGAGAACATTTTTCGAAATCGTTCAGTGTAAGGATAACAAGAAGGGGGCCCGAAATACTCCCCTGGGGCACCCCGCTTTCCACCATACGAAAACTTGACATGTAACCATTAACAACCGTTGATTGCTACCTACCACAGATATAGTCACGGAATCAGTTTATTGCACCTTCGTCAAACCAAAAGTAGGATGATTTCTTCAATAACATGTTAGACGAAATCAAACCAAATGCAAGTAAAAGGGGGATGTTTAACAATGTCACAATTTAGATCCCCAAGATAATGAAATCTTTAGACAATGATTCTATAGGCTGAAGTACGCTATCAAGCAAGTAAATACTGCACTTAATGAGTTTGGTGGTCTATACCAGGCAATACACAATAAGAAAGGGTTTCTGTTTTTTTAATGCATATCCCAACACACATTAATTTTAAGCCGTCAAGAGTCAAATCATGCTTTATCTTAAACAAAATATTTTCTTTAATATATATCAAAATTCCACCTCCATTTAGGTTTCTATCTGTTCTAATAGCTCTAAATATTTCAACATCAATCTCACTATCAGACACAGAAAAGTTTAACCTTGTTTCACATAAACACAAGCTTTTGATATTTTGCTTGCACAACATATTGCGCACTTCGTCAATATTTTTCAACAATGAACATTGTTAAGGTGAGATGATGCCAGAAAACGAATTGATCTTCGTGAAAATATCGTCATAATACTGTGATAATTATACATAGCAGATTCACTTTGTTGTGGTAAACCAAACTCAATATCAATTTCAAAATCAATACATGCATTTGTTGGCAGTTCATCGAATAGACATGGGACACATGCCCAGTTCGTATCAGAGATAAAAGTTTCATGAGTCGCCCTTGAACATACAAAGTGGGCCCATCGTTTGCAAGATGCGCACAATAGAGCATTTTGATTGGTTTTAACTTCTTTCGAACAAGACAAACCTGGATATTTCAGTAGGCTGCACGTGAATGTAAAACATATACAGAATTTCCTGCAGATATTACAGTAAGATAAGCAATGACTTAAAAACCTACGTAGAAAAGAAAAGAAACTATGATTTTGCACTTTCAAGATCTTGGATGCTCCTCACCGTGCGCTTAGCATGTCGGCAGTCAACACACAGATTTTTTCATCCTGACTCTCTTTAGCGAGTCATGTCTTACCAGTTAATATTCATCCATCTCATTTTTCTCTTAATACGTTATTTCTTATTGCTTTATACTCTAGTTCCAATCCAGTCATCCCGTTTCCAGTCCATTCGTATTTTTTTCCCTCTTTTAAAAGCAAGTTTGTAAATCTTTCCATCCTTTCTCATGCAGGGTTTGCTTGAGACAACAGCTGGTCTTGGTCTCTTACTGGGCCCTGTCTTTGGTGGCCTCCTGTACCAGGTAAATACATCCTTTCTCTTCATCTGTATTCATTCTCCATAGAAACTAAATAAAGGAATGGTCCATGGACTTGATTGATTGATTCTAATTTATTCCATTTCATATATCAATTGTTTGCACAATAAAGAACATAGTTGACAAAGTAAGTTCAAAATTATGAAATGAAACAGGAACCTACTGGAGCTTGTTTTTAGGTTCCTAAGAAAAAATATAATATGAACATTATATAAGTTCATGGTCCATCTTTGCACCTGAAATTATTCATTAATATATAGTACTTTCGAGATAACGAAAGTAGATACCGGCCCATAAATCCTTGCAATTGCCGATTGTATGATGTCATACGATAACAACTTGCAATAATTATTCAAGACCATCTCCTCGAGGCTCTCTATTTTAATAATTATATCCGTCCTCCTCTTCGCCCTTTGCATATACAACCAGCCCCTGGCGGGTCATAATTCACGCACCAATTGTATACTTGAAGGTCATTTATACAGTATCCCCCTTTCTAAGATCAATTAGATGAGTGAATTGTATCCTGTTTTGATATGTCCATATTATGATGGATTGCGTTTATTCCATATATTGCGTTATGCATGACGTTATCTCATGCCGCCGGAGGCGCCAATCCATTTTTGGATGGAGGTGCATGGCCGCGGCGAACAAAGTGAACGGAAAGATATACTGCATAATTATGATAATCCTGTAATCATGTGAGGAGGAGGCATGACTGTGTTCTCAAGCCCCATCTTCACTCGAACGTTGCACTTGTGGGCTGCTGCATGGTTTTAATCGTGATTAATGTTTACTTTATTATTTTCTTCTGACCTTATTTAGCTTGGAGGATCAAGTTACTTGCTACCCTTTGTTGTGATTGGTGGTTTGGACATGGGTTCTATGCTCTTTTCTCTTTACTTCCTACCATCACCAAGTAAGTCATTTTTTCAGCACAACATAATCATGTTACTTTTAATATGACCCTCCGTTTGAAAACTAGTTTTCCTTTATAGCGCAACAAAATGATATTAGAATTAAAACAAGGGAAAGAAGGAAATTAGATGTTTACTTTATCCAGTCAGGATATCCTTTAAAGGTGTATTGATTATGTGGACATTCCACAAACAAATTGCCTACAAATTACAAAAACTAAACGCATTATCCGAGTCTGGCTGATGCCTACTTAATAAGGGAGAACCATCCCGTTATCCTTTAAGACCTAATTTCACACGAACCATTATTATGTTCGTTTGGTCGAGTTTATCAGAGTAAAAATGCATCTGGGAAATGTAAGAAACTTTAATATTGTTTCCTATAAATTCGTCCACACATGTAATCCCCTTTTTAAAAATTCTAGATCCACCCCGAGTCACACCTTGAAATATGATACTTATTTTTGATTGATTTGATTTTTCGGATTTGTAACCCCCCTCCCCTTCCCTGAAAATCCAGGATCCACTAAGGTAATTTGAACATGGAGGGAGGTAAAACAATCTATTTCAATCGGCGTTAGTGTTTTATTATGAAAGACCCCATCAAACATAATAGGTGTATTAAAATTGCAATTGAATCTGCAAAACATACATCTCACTCTAACTCAATACGAACAACATGTGTTTTACAACTTGTATAACGTCTAGACTGGTCACATTTAGGTTACCAAATTCTTGTCAATTTTATCAGCAAATAATGCATTAAATCATGACATGGCCATATTCATTTGATGTTGTAAGTTTCTTGAGATACCAATGCAAATGAAAACACAAATGGTTAGCTTAACAATTTTAGATCGAATTGACAGGAAGAATTACCATGTACACTATTTTGGCCACGGTACATATACCATGGTACTAACATGGTAGTAACCTAGTACCGTTACAATATTATGGTGAACTAAATATATAGAGGCATGTTAGTACTGTCTTTATCATGATGGTAACGTGGAAGTATTGTTCCATTTTTTTGTAAGGGACACTCGACCCAGGTAAAGACGTGTTTATTGAGGACGCCACGAACATCACGTCTGACAGAAATAGACATACACGAACCTTCTATTATTATTATCATTATAAAATTGTCATTATCGGCAACGGCCTTGTCAATGTTGGTATAACATATTTGCTACTTTCCCTGCTTTGATATTCGTTTCAGAATGTAAAGCTGTAGAGTCTGGTTCGGTTTCCGAACTTCTCCGAATCCCTTGGGTGTGGCCGATCGCGATGGCGGCTTTCCTTGGCAGTGCATGTCTAAGTTTCCTAGAACCCACTTTCTCCGTTCATGCAACCAACTTTACCGACAACGCCTTCTACATTGGTCTCCTCTTCATGCTCATCAGTGGTTCCTATGCCGGTAGCTCTCCATTATGGGGCTGGATAGGGGACACATTCGTAAGTAACTCCAGCAATTCCACACTTGAAAATTCTGTAGAAAATTTCAAGTAAATTTTATGTGCATATCATGTTTACACCAACAAGATCATAGCAAAATCCCCTCATCATTTTCCCTATTTTAAACAGATTTTCATTTCTCTCTGTGTCTCCCCATCTTTTTTGCTCTACCCTCCCCAATTTGTCTCCTTGTACTTTCTTCTCTCTGTTTCTCCATCATTTTTCATTTTCTTAATCTATCAATATTCCTCCCCCTCCTTTTGTCTTCTCTTTCTCTATCTATTTATCTTCTTTTCCTCTCACCCTCTCTCACCCTCTCTCACCCTCTCCCACCCTCTCTCACCCTCTCCCTCCCTCCCCTCTCCTTTTCTCTTTCTTTCCAGGCTATGACGCGAGTCTGTTTGATAATAGGCCTTATCTTGGATAGCATTGGATTTCTTCTGATTGGACCTTCACCAGTATTGCATCTTCCAAGGTAACCATGACAACCATTTTATCTTGTATTCTCTTGTATTTTCTTAAGAGCAGCCTGTATACTCTACCATAGCTCATTCACACCAACGAGACCGACGCAAGACCGACTCTAGACTGACTCTAGACTAACTCCAGACCAACAACATCCAGACAACGGACTGAACTTAAAAATACATTTCCCCGAACGGTGTGGAGCAAGTCTGGTGTGGTTATACCTCAGTCACACCGCCAGACCCCCCCCCCCCCCGAACAGACCCCTCCGAACAGACCCCTCCGAACAGACCCCTCCGAACAGATAAACAGTCTAGTTCTTTTAATTCTTTTTTTTTTATTTCGTTTATTGTCGGTCGGGGTCAGTGTCTTCCGTGTGTCTGATGTACTATTAGAACATGGTTATATGTGAATAAAATATCAATGAAAAAATTCTTCAAACAATTTGGGGAACACTGTTAGACGTCAAGGGTACCATAAACTTCATGTCATTATATTAAGCAGATGTCAGATCTTGCCTAAATTTCTAAATTCATAATTTTTTTCGCAGTCGTTTGTGGATCATTTGCATCGGGTTGATTCTATTTGGTGTCGGTGATGGCGCTGTTATAGTTTCTGCAATCGGCGACATGTTTAAAATAGCAGTGTAAGTTTGTGTTTGTACGTTTTTACTATTTATATAGCATTTTCGACTCTATTATATAAAATTACACCACGTCCTTCATTGTAACCACCAAATCAACGATATTTTATAAATGAATTTAAAAAATATAAAAAGTAACACAAAGAAAGATTAATACAGAACTACAGCCCATTCATTTATACTTTTATTATCTTAGTAACTTTTCATAAGATAATAAGTACACAGTGGTTATTTTGGCAAACGAGGATGCAGACAAATGTACATCAAGAAAAAAAATGTCATCACGTCAAAAACTGATGTCCTTATCATATTCTGAAACTCTGGTTAGACAGGAATGACAATGATTATAATCTATTTCAAACACAATTTTCAGAAAATACAAATTACCGGAGGACATCCGAACATACGGCGTAGTATCAGGTGTATTCAACGGTGCCTATTCATTAGGGTAAGTCTACACAATACTACTTCCATGACTTATTTTCTAAGATCTATTCAGAATAGTTTAACTTGTATTGAACATAGAGCTCCGATTTCCCCTGTCCAAGGTACAGACATGAAAGGTAATGGTAATCAATTACAAGCTAAATTAAACAGATATTTCTTAACATTGTTTTTTAACAATTTATAATATGTCTATTTTTACTGTATGTTCGTCCGTATGTCTGTCTGCTTGTCTCATCGCAAGCAATTTTGCATAAATATCACAACACTGCATTTTAATTCCAGTCATATTAAGGCTATTTGATAAGATATGATTGTTGGCATCATAATGTAAGGATTTATTTTCTGTATAATATAAAAAAGGTAGCTATAAAAGCCGTATTACCCACCATTCAGAATTGTCTAAATTTGTTCATGATATATCTTCTAATGTTTGGATTTCATTTTCGTTTTCCTCTTCATTCAATTTATGACCATTGACATCGTACCAATCATCGTCATCATCATCATCATCGTCGTCGTCGTCGTCGTCGTCATCACAATCACGATCTTCTTTATTTTAATGATCGTCATCTTCAACACCACTAATCTGATAATAAACCATAATGATCGCAATCGCAACCTCCATAACCACCACCACTGCCACCACTACGCAAACAACTTAAAACATCAATCGCCGTTGACGTCACCATCGTCGTCATTATCATCGCCATCATCGTCGTCTTCATCACCAACACCACCACTACAGGACGGTTTTCGGGCCTTGGGTAGCGGGTGGGTTACTCTATCAGGAATATGGTTTTAATAACACATCACAGATCATGTCACTACTGCTTCTATCCATGGCGTTCATCATCTGTGTATCATCGGTAGTTGAACACCACTGGAGAAAGAGGTTTGCTCATTTTATTGCTAAATTCTAATAATATCAAACCTAAAGATAAGAGAAAGTATCTTAACCAACAAAAAAGAGAAGTAATTTACAATGTGTATCCCCTCTACGTTGTCGCACAGAGGGTTATATGGCTTTGTTTCATGTTGTCATACACCCTCGTGACAGCCTATTTGTTCAATAATTTTGACCTGAAACACGTCAATTTGACTAGAATTCACGTCACTTTTAATACCGTATAGGTTCTATTCAATATTATTGTAATAGATCCTCATAAGTGTCCGTCGTAACTAGTTTTCTATTTAGATTTGAATGTATTCATATTTGAACGGATATTTTTTAAAGTATAAAGAGTTGTGTTTAAATTTATTTTTTACGATTCATTTGAGCCTTGCCAACATGACTATAAACACAGCGAATATGACAGAATATGAATATCACTGTCTAAACGGTGTGATACAAAGTAAACAAGATTCAAATCCAGATAGTTCGCTATCAATGAAATAGGTCAGTGTGTTGCAGAGGGCAATGTAACATACCTCGGTACGTCAATCCCAGCTTGACGTATATGATATTCAGATTTAAAAAAGGATCCACAAAATGTACATACTTCAATAATGCCTTTCTTTTGTTAGCACTGAATAATCAAAATAATTGAAACTTGCAAATAGATTAATGGTATATTTACGCTAAGTAAAACAGAACACATTATCCAATTCTTTTATATGTATAAGACGTAAAGAGAAAGCGTATTTAATTTGTGGAATTACAAATGAATGTTAACCCAAAATGGAACGGACAGTTTATTTTAAGTCAAATATTATGAAGTAAAATCATTCATTTATCAATCATTAACTTAGTAACATCATTGTTTTCTTTTTCTTTCATGTCCATAATCCACCTAGACAAAATCGACTGGGTAAACGAGTAAAGGATCTGTATAACGTCCAGACTGACAACGCAATCCCTGAGACGGTGCCGCTATTCCAGCAACCGAAGGGTAAAAAACCATCTCAAGAAAGCTGACATCTGATGATCCAAACAGATTGATGAAGTCAAACCCACCGATCATCATTCACTCCTTGCGCTGGTGCTAGCTACAACAAAATGCGAACAAGCTTTGAGATTTTTGTAAGTGTATTGCAGTTACTTTGTGCATTTTCCACTAGCGCTCCTGCTTAAAATCAGGCTGCCCATGCATTGCGTGCTCTAGTGGCCTTGATTTGATTTTCAAGTCGAAATCATTAATTATTTCATCAGATTATTATCAAATTAGGAGATGACTACTGAAGACAACGACAAATTGTGTGAATTTCAATTGATGATCCATGTACTAGTACGAGGGTGGCGAGTTCAACCATCGAGAAACACTGTATCGTACGAGGTTTAAAGTTAAAACCTGATTGGTCAAAAGTTAGTATCAGCGGTGGTTTGTAACCTGCGGTAGACTACTGGCAACAGAATCGAAACGCTTTGAATTTCACAAACTATGGAACTGAATATATCCAGAGGATTTTTTGTTCTTCTTTCTCCTGCTTAAAACAGCGGAGTGTTCTTGAGAGAAAGGAGTTATATTTCTTTCTTTCATAACATGTCAAATGAAGTATTATACCAATAAACATTCAAACAATAGTATGTTAAGCCTACCTGCCTACTAAACCCCTCAAACTCAAGTATAATGTATTATATCTTTCTTGTCATGGCATAATCTTCGATATATTAAGTATGAATATAAAGTAGATTTATTCCTTGTTAAGATGATACCCTATTTGTTATGATCTTCGAGTGATGGAATGTGCAGAAGATTCAATATAATGGGCAAAGACAGAAGTGAAAAATGTCGAATTGCACTGCTCTTGTTCGACTGTGCATTCAAATTGCGCCATTACCCAGGCCTTTTCAAAAGTCGTTAACGTAAGCATGATGATAGTGGCGGATCCGGGGGGCGGGCCCCCACCCCTGGGGAAAAAACGTTAATATTTCCTCTCTCTTTTGGAGATGGGCTCCCTCCCCTGGCGTTCAAGGAAGGGGGTGGGATTTTTCAAATTTTCGAGGGCCCCCTCAAAAAAATAGTGCTCATTACCCCCCCCCCCCCCCACTGAGCGAATTATCGGCCGGCTATTTCGCCGCTAAATATTTTCTCACGAATTGGGCCCCCCTCCCCTGCCGCCGGCTGGATCCACCCCTGCATAATGCTGCACGAGGTTGATGACCAGACAAGAGCGAATATGCCTGACGTGTCGCCATAGTGCATGAATTCTAATTTCAGATTTTTAGAGTTTGGCATTCATGGATGACCAGTTATAGGAACAATAGCCCCAATGTCATTTACAAAAATCACTTTCAGAAGTTACGATAATCTCTGTCAAATCCGGACAGGCCTGATTATTTCCAGTTGCATTATGTTGGCTGAAACAGTGTATTCTAAAGGTAAAGTGCACTCTTTTATTTGAGTATTTATATTATTTAAAAACAAATGTATACTGCGATTTAGAATCATGAGAGAAACGATGATACATAAATAACTTAAATATGAAAATTAGACCATCGTCTTGAATTTTTTTTCAGTTTCATTTACGGATCTATCCTGCTCCTCGTTGATAGTCCACAGCAAATGTCGTTGTGATAGCATTCTTTGGTCTACATGCTTACAATGTTTTCTCAAATTCAATTCGAATTGTTGATTTTGGGCGGTTAGTCATTTTTTGGAAAACATCTCGAAGTGAGCTACTGACTAAAAAAAAGAGGGGGGGGGAACATGAGACTGTCAGTGGCAGGTTTAGGGGGGGGGGTGGATGCTCCAAATGGGTACGTCCCACCACTTTTTTGTTTGTTTTATTTTTGTTGTCATTACGTTATTCTACTCTTGGCACTAAGCCACTCCAAGGACGTTAATATATGCAACAAATATTATTTATTTTAATGTCCTTGGTAATTGTTTTGTGCTTCTTTCAATTTGCAAATTTGATTTCCGGAAACCAAAGTGTTTTTGGGGGTGTACTTTATACGCTAAAAAACTATAATTATGTTCTGTCGCAAATTGCTATAGCTTTATTCATGTTATCATCGTGTTTGTCACAAAATAAAAATACACGATATTTGAAAAATTGTGTGATGTTGGTTTTGATAATTGGCGTAAGTAAACTTGCTAGAGAAAGAGAGAGGAAGAGAGAGAGAGAGATGAAGAGGAAGAGAGAGGAAGAGAGAAAGGAAGAGAGAGAGAGAGAGAGAGAGAGAGAGGAAGAGAGAGAGAGAGAGAGAGAGAGAGGAAGAGCGAGAGAGAGGGAGAGGGAGAGAGAGAGAGAGAGAGAGAGAGAGAGAGAGAGAGAGAGCGAAAGAGACAAAAATAGACTTTCTTTGATTTGAATAATACAAGAACAAATGTTGGAAAGTAAAGAGGAACAAAATTGGCAGAAGAACGTTGCACTTTAGTATTTAATTTCCGAAAATGGGACGATTGTACAGAGAACAGAGACACATTAATCAGACTATACTGAATTATTACTAAAATGTATATATTTTTGTATTTACTGGGTGTAAGTTACAAATATATTTAGATAAAATGCATATTGTTTAGTAGGAATATTTGATATCAAACTCCTGTTAAAATAGAAGTATCTAATATGCGACCATATACATTGACAGAGAACTATTTTAATATTTCTTAAAGGGGCCATGACATCAAAATACAGGTTAGCTCATTAATGGCTGACAGATGATGTCACAAGGGAAATGAGATCTGGAGGTTTTGGAGGTGGAGCTTAGCAAGTTTGAAAAACAAATATTAAAACAAATATTAAAAAATCTATGAAACAAATTCAGAAGTTTACATATCAAAATATGAGATGTATGCAGGACTGCACACCAACAGGAATACACTTGTATTTCGATGTCATGGGCCCTTTAAGGTAGTACTATATCCTGCTACATATACTTATGTAGATACAGAGGGAATATTTACATGTCATCAAAGGTATACAATGTTTGATGAATCATGCACTTTTACCTCAAGAAATTGTATTATGTTTTTGTTTTTCATTCTGAAAATTTCTTTGACACTTTGTATCATACAATAAAACATATTAATCTAATTGTCATCTTCTGTCTGTGCATTTCACAGTCCAAGTAAATATATAGCAAGTTCGTTCGTTCGTGTCTCCTTAGATCAAGATTAATGTTAAGTTCCTAAATTATATTATATTAGATTAGATTAAATTAAATAAGTTATTCCATAGCCCGATAGCAAGCAATAAATGCACATATCAGATATCCATGTATACTTGCCGTTTTGCTTTTTATTTTTAGGGGGAGGGTCTAAATTCAAAGCAAAAATGGTGACCATCACCAGGCACGTAAGCAGGGGGAGGAGGGGGGGGGGGTAGTGTTTTGGGGGTTACCCCTTTCATTTTTTTTTTAATGAGCGAAATCTCGGTCGGCGCGATTTTCCAATTTTCGAACACCCTCCTTGACAAAATCCTGCATAGCCTACGCCAATGACCATCACTACATCATTCAATTAACCTGATAGGATTTCAGGCAACATTTTCTTATAATATAATGTACAAGTCAAGATAGATGTATAATAAAATGACATTTTATCAAAAATATATCGAATAATATATACGTACAAGTCTCAATTCAACTAACAGGCAGTTTCGTCTACCAGTTCTATACCTAGCTCCCAATGTCTTAATGTGATGAGCTTCCGAGCAAAGGCGCTACATCCCTTCCAGCAAATTTAGAGTAAATAAAGACTTTTTAGTTTACACATGTTCCTTTTTTTTAGTTGTCAATTTCCTAGATAGTATATGATAGAACTATCACTTCAGATCACAAATACAGTAATGAACAAAATCCTACATATATTTTGTTTTGGATTTAGCGCCCTTTGAGAGGAAAACAATGGTTTAGTGCCTTTTGTAAGAAAGATCATGAGGGTCCACGGCAACGTTCAAATGAGATACTTTATATTGATACTCAAATACTATCATTGTTTTGTAACTAGAAACGAGAATATAAATGTGTGCAGCAACAGTCCTCTAACCCCCTCTCCACCCAATCACTAATTAAAACTGGCAGTTAATATCACATAATTGCAAAGCCTGTCTAATAATAATAATACAATATTTATAAAGCGCATAATAAACCTAAGTTTCTCTATGCGCTGTACAAGCATAATGACGAGAAATATAATCACATAAAGGAATCAACTCTAAAGCTTCCGTACCGCGCCATGTTAAAACCGTTACATGTAGATACAAATTCGAACAGTATAGTAACGTTCATGTACCTAAAATATATTATAACAATACAAATTTAAAACCAAATTTTTATGTAGGCTTACAAATTTACCCATTGTGAAGTAAGCTTTCTGTCTCTGTTCTGCTTTCTAATTGGTCAAGGCACTCCAAGCTGGGATGCTTGGCCCAACAAGAACAAATAATAAAGATAACATGGAAATAGCGGGTTTTTCATGGTAAATATTTTGGATTTAGTGCCTTTTGAAAGAAAACATATTGATGATTTTTAAAAACATTTCCTGCAACATTTTGAGGTGAAATTGCGTGATTTGGATGCTCATCTATGATGTGTTATAAACGGTGTATAGAAACATTGTAAGCGGGTGAAAATGGATTTAGCGCCTTTTGCATGTCAGCTCTTCATGTGGCGAAACCCTGTTAACTTTGAATTGAGCGAAACAACAAAATAATAAGACATTTATGATTCATATTTGTCAAAATGTTCTCTCTTCTTTCCTCGGATGTCATCATCAGCTCATTCTTTCCCTGACGATCGACTAGCTAAATTGCGTGTCGATAACGATATTATTCCGTTATACAGTGAGTCGCCGAGGTTTGAATTGTTAAAACGTCTCATGACCGAAGGACTCCGATGATCTGTGTTATTATGCCTTCGATTCTGACTGGCTTTTCTGGAACATCTCAGAGAACCGGTCTTGCATTATTGTCATCATGTCTGACAGGACATTAAGCTTTTCGTTGATCCCATCAGCGACTTTTTCCAAGTCATCTAAATTGTTTGTCTTACCGAGCCCGCCCTGTCCCTGCTCCTGATATCCGTTGCTCATGTTGGAGTTTCCAGGCTTCTGGGCGTCGACCTTTGAAGATAGATTGCCGAGCATTCCCAGCACATCAAATCGGAAGCTAGATATGTCATTCTTGATTTCTTCAAGTTCTCCTAAAGTCATACAAGAAAATTGTAAACAAAAAATGCTTAAAGGCATTGAATAACAATGTTTACAGTTTACAAATCTGACATGCATGGCTCTACGTGTTATCAGTGTCTGGGATATCGGATATGGTGTAAAGTTGAAGCCCTTAACATGCGCTTCAAAATGATCATGAAGTGCCTCAAAAAAGTAAAAATCTTTGAGTGACCAGTTTTACCATACTCATTTTCCCCAGTAGACTGTGGTGTTAGTGTTATAAAAAACCGTTGGGAAAACGATTTTTGAAATTTCGAATTCAAGTTCAAGTTCAAGTTCAGTTTATTCCAATCATAAATATCTTGATAATCAGACAGGCGATCGGCTTGTACAAAACATGGGATTTCTGACTAATCTAAAGGTATATACTTATGATTGCAGCACGAGCTAAATCCAAGGTTTTGTTTTGAATCTGTGGCAAAGACACCCAATCCCTTTGACCAAAGCTTAGCAGACAAATGTCATTAAACGGCTCTTGTGAACAATCTGTTTAAAAAAATGCTTAGTGCAAACTGTTTGGTGCGAACTCTATCCATACGTGAGAATTTTGGGTAGAAAGGAATCCGGAAAGGAATAGCAATCTGGAGTATTCTAGTAAGTAGTAACGCCTTCCGGACATGTTGAAAGTCATTTTTTTCTTGTTTTATCCGTATAGCCCAAGGTAAAGCAAAGCAACTCAGTCACTCATATTGTCTTGGAAGATTATTAAAGGATGTAATAATCGGTCGAATACAAATCAATTTTCACGTCGATCACACATTAGATGACAATGTTTCCTCACTCTATCCTCGCGTATTGCTCTCTATACCTCAGACAGTCAGACTTACTTTGATCTTTAATATAAGGAAAAAAGAAGCAAATGTTTACCTTCATCGACCTCATCGGTGTCCTTTGATCGTTGTAACTTGAAGAGAAACCTCTTGACGACATTCTTCATAAGATCGTCATGACTCGTTACATTCCGTCGCAAAGCCCTCCGCAGGTTACTCTATAACATTCAAAAGAGAGATCAGAGCACGAGAGATTCTCGTTAGAATGAAGACATAGATGACGGTAATGAATATGTAATTAATCTAAGTTGATTTCCATAGCACACAATGTATATATATTAAAGAAAGATGAGGATACCTTTATTGAAGCACAGCACAAGTTTACCATAATTCTTAAAATCTTGAGAAAAGCCTAGCTTTATCAGTCTCTTAATGGGTCTTGCTGGGTCAATCAGGTAAAGTACAAAGCCTGTGCAGTTTTCCGTCATCATAGTCTCATAGTACAGACCATGTTACGCACAGTGACTGACAAGGCCAGGGTTTGTGCCTGCACATTTATGACTACCATGACTCCAAAATTGTTAATCCGGTCTCTATAATTTATTTATTTATTTATTTATTTATTTCTGATATTTATACAGGGTGGCACATATCACCAATTTGGTGGCCTTCCATGAGGCCCTATTTGGTAGTAATGAAACAAATAACAGCATCGAAAACAAAATAGATAAATCGGCCTGGTGTCAGTTTGATCGGCATGACTGAGGTCACTCTGCAACCAAGTCTTGCCCTTCAGTTTGCTGGATATGCCACTGTATATACAGGCCTAAATTTAATGTGTAACAATTTAATGTCTAAAAATTCTCTGCGTCTGGATTTATGATAATGTATTGCATATGCATTAGAATGTTATAATTTTTCGTGAAAAATATCAAATCGGGCTGATTTGTGCATTAAGTCATGTTGAATAGCTCATTTCGTAATAAGTAATAACGAAATCACAATTCATATCTTCCTTTAGAAAACAATATAAAATCTTACTACTAAATAATTATTAATCAGCACAGTTGTTGATTTTTTTTAATTATCTGAACCCCTTTTATTGTTGTTTTGTTTTGTTTTCTTTCTTTTCCCCTTTATATATTTTTTCTTTCTCTCTAATTCACTTTCTCTTGTCTTATAGATAGTTGAAGTGTTTGTACTTTGCTTATTTTACTTAATTTATTGTTGTGTGCTTATAATATTTTGTATTTCTTTTTGTTTGTTTTTCATTCTGTAATGGGCGATCCAACGTCACAGTTTTTCATAACCTTCATGGAAAGCCCCGCATATAACCTTAGTAAACATAGTTAGAATTTACAGTTACTTTGTATATTTCGATTTTTACATTGCGAAATAAAATTGAATTGAATTGAATTTCGAAATTTTGTAAAAAATCAAAAGTATACCTGAGAAGTTATTCTGTGAGTTGCGATGTTCCGTTGACGTGAGTTCTTTTTGATCAGTTGATAGCCGGCCACAATGATATTGTTGAAGATAGACTTGGGTGAAGGTATGAGATTGAACGGAACAGGTAATGTGGCCCCTTTCTCGAAATATGACAGCCAGAGTTTGGAACGAGAAAACTTCCACTCCACATCTTCGTCATTCTATAACATTTATAATAACGGACAACAAAACGTTAACAGGAAGAAAGGTGTTCAAATCGTTAAAATAGTTTACATGATAGTTTACTTTAGAGACCATAATAATTATGTACTAAATTATTGATTTGAGCGACGTCTAGACGACCTTCCTGTAGGTTATTCTGACACTGCATGCATAACTGTTAGACAAACTTTGTATGAAGGGGAACATACTTCCCGTGATTACAAACCAAAAACACAGAATCATTGCAACATTACATAGTTGTTAATACGATTGGGTTTGATAACAGCAAACCTAAGTTGTCCTCAACACAGCAAAGCAAAGCAATGACATTTTTGTAAGATTATATATTGATGTGATTTTAAGTTTAACCCACAGAAATAGTGATAGAGACAAAATGATGAATCAGAATGATAAATCAAACTCTGAAACTGACGAGAGAGAAAGAGAATGATAAATTCGATAATGAAACTGACATTGATCGCATCGAAGGACGAAGACATCATGGCGATGAGCATGTTCAGCATAACAATGACCATGATACCCATGTAGGAACTGTAGAGCAGAATTCCAAAGGCTTCGGTAGAGGTATGGCCGCAGTCTGAATCAGTATCAGGGCACGATAGGTCAGAAGGGTCGCCAAGACCGAACAAAGCCCACATTAGTGTCCGGATAGCGTTCAACAGCCTGTTCATTTGAAGAGAAAGGAAAGTGTGACACTCAAATATACTCATATTGTGCATATTTTATAGGTCATGGCTTTGATCTTTCAAATCCCCCCCCCCCCCCCCCTAAAAAAAAAAAAAAAAAAAAAAAAATATTTACAACAACAGTGAATAGAAGAAAAAAAAATTGTAGCAAAAGATTCATTTTCCCTAAAAAAAGTAGTAGTTTTAATAATAATAATAATAATAATATCGAATATTTAGGAGCGCTGAAAACAATAAGTACCATAGCGCTTACAAATACAAATATATGTAAAGAGGACAAGAAAGTACAGTACAGGAAGTATATCACATAGATCATTGGGGGAATAGGTGAGTTTTGAGGGATCTTTTGAAGGTGGCAAGACAGGTAATTTCTCTTATGGAAAGAGGGATTCTGTTCCATGTCTTTGATGCAGCTACTGCAAAGCGTTTTTCAGTTGCTGAGAGTCTAGATTTGGGAATGTTAAGTTTACATGTGTCGGTTGCTGAACGAAGATTACGAGTTGGTGTATATATTTGGAGGGTGTCATTAAGATATTCAGGTGCCAGATGATTGAGTATTTTAAAAGCATACAGACAGAATTTAAACAGAACACGTTGGTGGAGAGGTAACCAGTGGAGCTCCTTAAGTAAAAGTGAAATAATCGCAGTAATTCTTATATCTTAAAGCCCCTCTCAATTAGTGTTGGGAGCCCAAAAATTGATGGCAAAATTTCACTTATTTGTTATGATTATGTGAAAGAGGATGTCATTTAAGACACATTTCTGCAAGGATTTTTTAAACATATGTGTTGAAAGTCGAATATTGATGAAAAATACAAAATGTTGGTTTTCTGAGAACACAACAGAAAACCCAAATTAAGTATTCTTTAATCAATATTTATCTTCAAACATATTTTCGGGGGAGAAATCTTGGCAGGCGTGTGTCTTAAATGACATCCTCTTTCACATTATGATATATTTTGAGAGAAATTTTGCCATCAAATTTTTGGCGAATTCGGGGCTCCCAAGAAGCCGCAAGAAATTTATAACCCAGTTTTGTTAGCGACGTAAAACTGGTGGTGGTGCTGGTTGCAGTAGTAGTAGTAGTAGTAGTAGTAGTAAAATGAGAGAAGTAATACTAGTGGTAAAGTTGCTAGTGATTGTAGAATAAGTAGCAGTAGCCGGAGCAGCAGCAGCAATAGAAGTATAATTTGGTGTCGTAATGGTCAGTAAGTATAAAGAATACCACTCTCAAATACAGCTAACACTGCTACGATGATGCTAAAGACATCAACTGCTGTTAGCATCTGCAACGATAGAAGATGTACGACACATGCTCCTGCAACCACTGCTCTAGCTGCGGTCAATTTCCTACACTAACCAAATTCCTAATTTCCACCCTTGACTTAACCCTAACCCAATACTCTGAACCTAACCCTAACGCTAACCTTGCTATACCACATCATTTTAACGAATCAATGTCACAGCAATTATCACTGGATCTCCTCCAACTGCTTCTGTCTGGTTAGTATACTCACGATCCAAAGGCGCTTTCATTGGGATAGTACCAATACAGATTACACATGGCGCACAAGAAGGCTATGAAGACCACGGTGAACATGGCGGCGAATCGCATGATATCACCCATCATCCTTCCAAGGGAGATCTGGAGCGGTCCAAGGAATTCACTGACAGGGAGGATGAATGAGAGACGAGAGAAGCTCAGAACATTGGCCATAGCGAACAGGCCTTCCCCTATCAGGTTCGGGTCGTTGTTTTCCCAGGCCCTCCGATCTGCAAACGAGGACGACAATGACAATAGTTTGGCCAGGACGGATTAGACCACACAGCGAGGTCACTGACAGGTGACTATCTCATCAACTCAGCCCTCAAATAACATAAGAAATAGAGGATAATGGGGGACCAACAGGCACCGATTGGGGAAGTTTTCTATACAGAGGGAGCAAGTAGCTACAAGTAGGACAGTGGGGCTTTAAATCAAAATGTAACTGATAATACACAACCAATAATGATACATGAAATGATCATGCGTACTTCTATTATTATCACAAGTACGACATATCGGTGGCCTAGCTGCACGATCCCACATCCTACACTAATTAATAATTCGTCTCGGTAATTTCCATTTCATTCATCTGGTGAAACCGTTGCCCCATTTGATGGTAGTGCCCATCATAATTTTGATTCAAGCTACGCCACTCCAGGACATTCTAGATGTGTATATCTTTCATTTTAAGACGTTATAATGGGAGAGGCATTGGGGCATTTGCTGTCAATAACTTCGATAGTCAACACAGACGATGTGTTATTATTAAGGTGTCCGTTTGTATCTTATCCATCTTATTTACGCATCGAAGTTACAGGTTTCATATTGCAATGTCAGTATGTCCTAAATAATAAAACTGAAGAAAATCTTACTCCAACCTAACTGTAACTTCATGGAATTTCATAGCCCTGTTACATGTACAGTTCTTAACTAAAATTCCTTTTCTGCACACAATTTCCACTTTAATTATAACATGGAAAAGTATATATGCAAAAAAAATCTGGGAAAAAAAAGAAATTTATGAAAAAGTGGTAACTTTTTGCAAAGTGTTTCTGATTGTGTATTACTTCTAAAAATCATTTCCCCAAGTAAATCTGTTATTTAACAAAAGTGAACTTCAATTTGTAACTGATTTCTATAAATGTATGTTCTTATCATATTTTGAATGGCCAAGAATATTATTTTGAAATTCTGCATGTAAAAATAAATTCTTGTATACATAGGTGAACGATATTATTTAATAAAGGATCCCTGTGGAAGGGGGAAAAATCACTTTAATGACATTCAACTTACCACCGGATAGGAAATAAAATTGCCGCTGGGCCTTGGCTTCATTGTTAATGAGAGCCTTGCAGTTCCCCTCGGTTTGGAAGAATTGTTCGGCCTTGTTGGTCAATTCAGTAGTCATGAACACAATCACAAGTGAACTCAGGAGAAGGTTTAACATAGCTAAATCAATCCAGTTCCAGATAGATCTAACATAGGTATGCACGCCTTCTCGCCATATCTGCTTAACCTCCTGCCAAATCATCCCTGAAAGGAATGATAGAATGAGACGATTAAAGTCTATTCATATTAGACCTACGATGGTGTTAAACGGGCGGGTGGGAAAAACAACATTCATACTACTGAATATTCTTTTTCAGCAAAAATTTCAAATTGTTGGGAAATAACGAGATCGAAGAACCTTAAAAACTGTTTTTTTCTTCTTCATTTATTAAGGTGACATGGGTGAGGTGGATATATTTCCCGCCAAACATCTTGACACTTTCAAATTCGCATGCAAATTTCATATGTCGGCAAATTTGAACAAAATCTTTGAAACTTCGAGGGAATCGGTAGAAGTTTTCGGCAAAAGTGACGTGACATCCCACCCATTCAAAATGTTCTAGTAATATCTACACGTAGTGCTTTTCATGTATGCAATAATCTGCATTTTTTCAATTACTAAATATTTTGTTCCCCTTTCCATTCACATAATCTACGAAAAAGAATACAGTGGTTACTGGTTAGTTTATTCAAACTTTACCAATTCTAACATCACCTTCAATCGTGAACATTTTATTTTCCTCTTTGAGCTGGATAAAACCAAGGCAATAGCAGGCCCTAAGAACAAAAGGCTCTGACTCACCCATGACGAAAATAAAAAGAATGAACTCGATGATGCTGCTAGCTTCTCTGATATTGGCCTTGATGTTATGGTAGCTACCAATTTGATCTATGTAAGGTCGACATGAGTTTGATGACTGGAAAATACTCTCAATGGTGATATCATTACGTCTGAAGATTCCAGACGACTCCATGACCGACTCCATGAACATGAGAAGTAAGAAGACCAAGTACATCACCGACTGATTGATGAACTTGATGATGGGACTTCGCATGAAGTTTCCAAACTAAATAAAGATAATTGGATTCTTATCGTTATATATGAAAGTCTGCTCATATTTATAGGGTTTCTTTCTGTCCTTTCTGTCTGATACATAATTATAAAACAGTACGATGTGACATGTTTCTCTCTCCAGAACCCCTCATACAGCATTGTAAGTTAGGAGATATCTACTTTTGATATGAACATCAGGGACGTAGCCAGAGTTTGATGTTTGGGGTAGGGTGGGGGGGGGGGGGGGCACATACATGTAATCGATCGACGTCCTGGGGAGGGGTCTAAAAAAGTTCAACCGATCTTGATCTTGTTTTTTTTTGGGGGGGGGGGCACGTGCCCCCCCCCCCCCCCGTGCCCCCCCCCCCCCCGTGGCTACGTGCATGATGAACATACCTTGTAAACACTACAGCAACAAAAGCAAAACACAACAACACCAAAACAATGTTGAAAACAAATAAACAAAAGACATTTCAACATTCAACATTACAAACAAATGTATACAGGTCTTCCTCGATGATTTCCAAGATCAACATCTATGTGTCATTTTGGTTATTGTATGCACCCTGAGCATTGTAATTACATCTAATATTTTTAAACCTGTAAGTATTTCAACAAATGGTTGGAAATGATGAATTAATGATTCTTACATTTCCTTTGGGATAGATGAGATAAATAATGACTGCGAATGGTACAAGGGGTAGGAAGAGAGATAACATGACCATTCTCCTCCATGTGTTCATCAGTCTGATTTTCGGAAGACCCTGGTACCACAGCGTAGAAAGATGGTGCTGGCAATGAGGATGAGCTACAAACTATAATAAGATGAGAGAGACAGAGAGAGAGAGAGAGAGAGAGAGAAAGAGAGAGAGAGAGAGAAAGAGAAAGAAAGAGAAAGAGAGAAAGCGACAGAGTGAGACAGACCAAGAGAGGGAGACAGAGAAACAGAGGGGAGATAAAAAGAGAAACAACTTATGTTTGTATATATTTTAATGTTTGTATGTATTTTTTCTTCAATTGGAGAATATAAAGACTGACCTAAACTAACAGAACTGAAATTTAATGAGATAAGGAGAGAGAGAGAGGGGGGGGGGGGGTGAAAGAGAAAGATATTTGTGGATTAACCTGGTTAAAGAGTAAATATTCGAGTGGCTTATATCGTTTTCAATAAACTACTGCCCCTTTACAATTTTGGACATAAAATCAGAATCATCATTATAAATGTCAGAGCTAAAGGAGCCTCAATGCTTAATGCCCGCGTTACACTGTCCACAAATTGACACCAGATGGACACACGATAATTTATTAAAAGGAAATGTTCCAGTGCGGCTCTGATCGTAAAGACATCGGGCCATGGCGTATGGGCATTTAAAAATGCGTATGACCGCCGATGGATTTCTCAGGCTCCGGCAGCAACTTCATTTTTAAAGCAGTTGTTAAAACATCGACTTAACCCTAATCAGGCCGGGGGCCATTATGCCCCCCCCCCCCTCCACGATTTTTCCGATTGCTCGGGAACGCATATGGATGGCGCCCCACCGCTCGCTGATTTTTTTTCTTTCGAGTCTTGCGCATCTTTCAAAAAAAAAAATGAAAATCGGACCATCAATTACAAGGTCACGTGACCTTTTGTCTTTGCATGTCAGCCCGAAAATCGCTCATTTTTGTGATTTGTGTACAAAACATATGTAAATGTCATTTTTCCTAAAACTTGGTTATTGGGTCTTGTTTAAAGTTTAGGTGGTTGTTTTAGAGTCAAAATAGTTGAATTGAAGTAAGAAATGAAATAAAACAACAAAAACAATAAAATACATAAGTTAAAAAAACAATGAAATACATAAGAAATTATAAAAAAAACAAGAGATAACATAAGGAATAAGCTAGCTCTTCCGAATTTTGTTTGTCCTATTTTATTCCAATTGGTCTGATAAAGATATATAGTGAAAACGAATGCTTAAATATGAATAATATATGATTTATGGGCAAAAATGTGATTTTATGACTTTATTTGCATAAATTACCATAAATATGCAAATAAGTAAATTTTTCAAAAAATTGAAATTATCATATTATTCTATACACTTCACTTGACAAGCGTGCAAATTTTCGCGGAGATCGGCCGCTTCACGACCGAGATCTTAAGGGGGCCATAATGCCCCCCCCCCCGGCCGTACTAAGACCTCAAATAGCCCGGCCTTTTTAGGGTTAATATCAGGGTGGACTTCTCCCTAAAAGACATACCTGTTTTTGTTGGTATTCGATGGCCATCTCCAGTCGTGGGAGGGCGTTCTGATCTTCCTTGTCATTCTCAAGAGGATTGTGGCAGGCCTGCTCTTTGACTTCAGTTTCTGAGATCGCCGCCTGTTTCAAGATCGTTTTCACCTCCTCCGTATTTTGACACATATCGAGAAGGTTGGATGCATACATTTTGCATTTCTGTTTCAGTTCCTTGTACTCAGTCTAGAAATTGAAAACAAAAAGGCTAGGACGTCAGTAAAAGGGAATTTATATAAATAAACGGCAAAATAATAATGTGCACACTAAATTATGATCAATATTCCGTCTGCTATGCAAAAGCCAAAACAGTGGTTCTTTCCCCCTGGACAAACACCCCGAGGACAATTACCCCCGGTAAATTACCCCGTAAAATTACCCCCTGAAAACTACCCTTTGGACAATCACTTTCGCCCTCCCCCTCGAGGACAATAACCCCTTATTACCAGGGTAGACTTCCCCTTTAATGAATGAGGGGGGGGGGGGGCGGGGAGGTAATTGCCCTCAAGGTGATTTTCCTCGGTTGTCCTGGGGGGGGGGGAGGGGGTTATGTCCATAGGGGGTAATTTTCAGGGGTCGGGGTAAATGTTTTTGGGGTAGTTTTTCCTTGGTTGTCTCTGGGGAGGTGGTGATTGTATAGGGGGCGATTTTCAGGGTGGGGGGGGGGGATAATTGTCCACGGGGGTAATTTTCGGGGAGGGGGTAACTTTCCTTGGGGTATTTGTCCTCGGGGGTAATTGTCCATAGGGGGGGGGGTAATTTTCCACGGGGTAATTTTTTTTGGGGGGGGGGGGTAATTTTTCTTGGGGTGGTTGTCCTTGAGGGGGGATTTCCCGGGGAGGGTATTGTCCTTGGGTGGTAATTTTCCGGGCAGTAATTTTCCGGGGTGATTGTCCAGGGGGTTATTGTCCTGATACGCAAAATAGTTACTAATTGCGCTTTACTTAGAGTTAACGTCCAGCTGTTTTTTTTTAGGCGATATCACAGGCGTCTGGCACTATTCTCCATTATTATACATCATGACTTTTAACTCTCATGTTTAGTACAGTTTTAATACAATATTGACAGACCGATACATGTTCATGCATTTTGATATTTAGACGTCTGTTAGAATTATAATAATTTATGCACTATTCGATAATGAAATATGATATATGATCATTTCATACTACGAAATCATAACAAGATAGCCACTTCTAAGTACTGTTTTTATGCTGGTAGTTTCCTATAATAAATTCCCTTGTGATATAATGCTAATAATCGTTGTCTCCCTATTAACCTCGCTGTGGGCGTACGGGCAAAGTGTCGCCTCTGGGATGTTCTCCCTTTTCAGAATATTTACTTTTAATTTTCTAACTTTTGACATTTTTAGTAAAGATTACATGTTTTCCTAAAAAAAAAAAGAGAGCACAAATGGACCTGCTTGCTACTGCCAGCTTGGAGAGGTGAAATTTTCTCAAACATCTTAAATGTCATCCCCCTCCTCCCCCCGTCTATGCTTGCTGATCGTATATTTTGGGGGTTATGGGTTACATTTGCAAAACATTTTTTTTTTTTTTTTTTTTTTTTTTAAACTGGAGAAGGGAGAAGAAGTTATTTATTACATTATTAATTAAAAAAAACTTAAACTTTCACAAAGGTGCTTTTTATGATGTCTTTCGTTTTGTTGGAGCTTGCTATCGAGAATATGTCTCTTTAAAAATAAATTAATCATTACAAAAAATAGCTGATGAGATTTTAAGGTGAATTGCTGACCTTGAACTCTTTCTCTGTCCGACAGAGGCCGTCTAGCTCTTTGCTCAAGAGGAAAGCAGTCAAGATAGGATCTTCACTCGTCAATGAGATGTAGGCTTCACTACACAATGCGCGATATGCATTAATGATGGATAGAGAGTGCATGAGAGGATCATACTCCTTCCGGTTCAAACAGGTTGTACATCCACAGAGAGGGTGATGGGGTTTGACAACATCGTCACCTGTTAACGCAATGTCAAAACCCCGGGTCAAAACATCAGCGAGAATCATTATGTACTACAAATAAAAAAAATCAACAAATGGCATAACCTAATGAGTACCAGAATTATTTATGAATAAACCGACCATGAAAGAGTAGAATGACCACTCTCATTAACCCCACATATCTTTACCACTAATTTGTACTCACAAAACATTACGTAAATAAGGTTGTGATTATGTATGGGGCGTGGATGTGTTGGTATCGAGGAAACTCGAACTGTACCTTCACCCCGGACCTTCACTTTGACGACCTCTCGATAAACAAGGACCTCCTCGGCTCGAGAACCCTATCAATTGTTTAAAACTTTGAGGCCCTGACATAGGAGTATATTTACTGAGGTCAGGTCCCATCTCCCTGTTGAGGTGCTCTTCGTGTAGTACGTCCTTCGTTATGCATAAACTTACATATCGTCCTCGTTATGTTATATTCCTACAAACATGTGTGTCCTCGGACAGGTAATGACGTACTGATGTAGATACACAATACACCAGAAACGTATACATATGAGAGGGTGGGTGTGTGAGTGTGTGTTAGTGTAAATGTTGAATGTTAACAAAATTAAGTTGTATCATCTAGATACATGTATCAGGAAAAGGCGAATGAATATCAGTAGGCAACATAATTTGGCACTCGAACAAATGCTAAGGCTTAGTGGGTTCACTCGACTCAAACATATATAAATACATATATATAGACTCTATACACTTTGTGTCACATGTTGCTACAATTTTTCAAAAGATATTAAATTCATCCATTTATCTAGGCCGGAAAACGAGCGAAACATACACCGGCCTCATCATTATCTGTAATGCACCACCGAACAGCAAAATAATGTGTTTTATGATGACAGAAACGAAAACAAAATGAAAGTATTCTACCTCGATCCATGAGTATTCGGAGGATGTCGACTTCATTATACATGGCTGCCATCATGATCGGGGTGACGTCACGGTCGAACTTAGATCGGTAGCTACGATCGTAGAAGGTTTCGTGAGGACCTAATGTTTGCATCGCACGGTTTTTCTTCTCATCGTAGCAAGGATGCCCCAGTAAAACCTGTAAAGAATAATGGCCAGTTTGTATAGGATTGGGACGTGTATTAGTCAAGAAACGACATTAACAAAAATAACAACAGCAACAACAAAAAGTAAACTTCTCATATGCCTCGTATGGTAGAAGGAAGGAAAACATTCAGTTAATAATTGAGAAGATTATCTTACCTAAGACCTATTGAATCATTCCCCTGACAAAAAACAACAAAAAACAAACCAAAAAAAAAGAACAATATATATAATATCAAATAGATAACAAATGAAATAAATAAACAAATTCATGAATAGGTAACAAAAAAAAAAAAAAAAAACACGAAATCTAACATTTTCTGTAAATGCTCTAATAATAACTTCCTCTAAAACTATTCTCAAGCTATATACATATGTAACATGCTAACTCGATGTAAAGAGTGTTATTCCTAAAGTTTCTTTCCCAAAACATGTTTGTTTCTATTCTACCTATCCATTTGTTGTATTCATATGTCACATGAACTTACAGTAAAAGTGGTCGAATCAAACATTTCACTAGTAAATTTCCAAAATATAGTTGTTTCGCTTATTTTCTTGTTGCTACTGAAAGTTCTTTTTTTTCCTACAAAACAATCTTGTTGGCAAGTTCGTGCAGAGCACTATCGTGACACTCCTGTTTATATGCATAGCTGGTGTTAATTTAATATTTTTTTCGGTTTAAACATTCTAGACGCCGTTAAATCCTCACGATTGCAAAATATTCATATTGCTTGATTTAACATTTTATTCAACAGTATAATCTAACAGCTAGAAAGTGTCATTAATAAGTCCGTAGCCCCAATCATTGTTATCTTAACATTATAGACGCTTTTAAGCAAGGGGGAAATGAAGGAATATTTATTTTACCTGCGTAATGTTAACATATCCCTTGGTGATGGCCACCATGAGGCTTTCATGTATCTCATTGAGACTTAGGTGATGATCATGCTCTTCGATGATGAAAAGCACGATCTCAAAGTGTTCGTTCTCCGTTGCGATCTCGAGGGCGGTACGGTCTTTGCTATCCGTCAGATGAAGCATTGTATTGATGGTCGCAATGTCAGCACCGCCACTCAGTGTCGTCTTCACATAGGCCAGGTTACCATTGCAGACGGCAGTCATGAACCTGGCCTCCGCATCGCCCATCGTCCGCGGTAGGCCTGAATTGGACAGGTTACGCTTTTTCGATGGCATCTTTCTTTGATTTTCTGTGAAAAAAATCAACATTCCCAAACAACTTACAACAGGTCTTTCCCTCTAGGCTACTATGCCTGCAATCCTAAATCGTACTGGTACGTCCGACGTCTCTATCGTGAGATGGAAGCTAACCTCGACGTATCTCTAACCCTAAAATAGGTTAGAAGAATCAATGAGGGGAAAAAAAACACTGTGTTGGTCCCACGACTCATAAAGCCGTGAGACCCACGGGATTGGACTAATAAGACGTATGTAATCATGATAACGTAAAGATGCCCCGTAATTGGTCGTCACCAAATGTAACCATCTATTTAAAATCCTCTAAATCTCCCCTTAAAAATGCTACAGTAACTTTTAAAAAGTAGCCTATCAGTAAAAAAAACAAAACAACAATATTACGGGATGATATATATTTGTGTTTTGTTTACTTTTTTTCACAAGAAACGTAACACTTTAAACAAGCAATTAAAAAGAAAGTACTCTACATTCGCGTAATCAAAGGAAACGTCATCTTCCTACCAGGAATGATAAACTATTTCCTTCAATGGTAAGAAGGTAACGAGAGAACTCTGTTCATAATTGTTGAAATCGACAATTATATACACAAATTTTGCGGTAGGAGGGGGAGGGGGGTGGTCATCTGTCGCCAAACTCCCAAGATTGAATAAAGAAATAAACTGCAAACGAGGTAAAGGGAGTGTGCAAAATGAAATGAAGACCGTTTTTGTAAGTGTTACAATAGTGACACCCATTGTAGATACACATGAAGGGAGGCCAGAGTACCGTCTTACAAAGAGTTCCGATTGATTTGAATCAATCGCAACTTGAAATTAATCGCAACTCCTACCTTTTCTTAAGTTCACTGTTGCAATTGATTCGAATCAATTATTATTGCAACTCTTTATAATACAAGGACCGGTTGTCGAGATAGTCTGAAGTATCAAGGGGAGGGGGTCAAGAGGAGGTAGGCTAGCGTTTGATAAATTTCGAATTTCATGTCTTCAAATTATAACATTGTTTTAAGAACATACCATTAACGATGGACAAGGGAGAAACAATTTTTCTTAGACACTTAAAGGGAATTGGTAACATTGTTCAGATGAGAAAAAATGGTGCCAAGATAGTGACTTCAATGCTAGATGTAAAATTAAAGATAAACTGAAAATTTGAGTGAAAACAGACCATTATTAATGATACAAATTGGGAACAACTGATCTAATCGATTCTTTAATTCTCCCAACTATATTATTACAATTTTATTAAATTTTAGGTGACTGTAAATCGTCACAAAGCAATGGACGGGCTCTATTCCAGACATTAAAGTGTTGAAATGTTTTTAAAAGCCCGCCTTATGTCTTATTTTCATTGAAAAACGGTTGGGAAAATTAAAAAATGGCTGGGAGAATTTACTTTTAGAGGGTGTCGCACAGCGACGCCTTCAAAGAAAACCCTAAATATCTTTGTGGTTTCAGAATTTGTTCAGGATTATTTTAATGTAAGAGTTAGTACAGTTACTGTAGAGGGAATATAATAAGTAACATTTCATACAAAAATCACGCAGTTTTTTCACCAACCTTCAACAATGTTACCGAGTCACTTTGAGAGAAGAATGATGAGGTATAGAGGAACACAATTCTGATCCAAATTTAACAATCCGTCCATCTGTCTACTTTCAAACGAAGGAAATGTGTCCCACGCGAGAGTTAATGCATCGACAATCTTTTTTTATATTAGGATAAACGCTCATCTTGAAGTGATAATTTTTGAGTAACCATCAAGTTGAAGAAATACACAGAGTAACTTACAAAATAAACTTGTGCAACTGCAAAACGTCTATTGTGGTTTCCCAAAAATATGTCAATCCTGCACTGGCAAGAGCGGTGTAGAACACAGCGTTACGTTGAAGAAGCGGCATCAGGTAGCACAAACTTACTATATGGTAACTTCAAATCAACTTGTGGAATGGAAAAAAGTATTTCATTGCAATTCCAATCACTTTTTTTTACTTGTAGATGGGATCTGGTATGGCGTTAGTTTTGATGATAAACGTCTGATACGATAATCAGTGAGTATCTCCGAGTTGTGAAGGCACAAGTATACTGCATGTTAGCTCACAATATCAAACAATATCAAACTGCAATTCCAAAGAACCATAATTTGTCACTTTTTCCTTGGCAGGCGACGTACAGTATGAAATAAGTATGACGATAACCAATGTAGGCCTACATCTCTCGGTGTCCATAAATTGAGTTGACCCAAAATTGTTCAGCTCTAATTACAGCTGCACATTTCATACAATGAAGACATAATTATGTGCAAGGACGGGTTTGAGGATGTGAAACTTAATATCCTTGCATTACATTAAGATTCACCTTTTATTAGTGGATTGAAAGTAAGGCTAATTATTCACGTCGCGAGTTAATATTAATAGCCTACCAGCACATCGGGATTAAATTTTGTGTTTATCAGGCCAACTGATGTAGCATAATATTATATAGAAAGTGACGTTGACAGTTTTGACATACGTGTAGATGTGATAGGTCCATATTGGAGCGGAGAAAAAGATCTCAAATTTAGATTTAGATTAAAAAAACTCGGCTTTCTAAGTCTGATAATTGTCATAATTTTAATGACGATAACATTCTGACTGAAGCGCTGACAACATGCAAGGGGTACACGCACAAGTCGATAGATGCCGTTTGGTTACATAAAATGTTTTATTTCTCCAAATAGAAGAAGTACAAGTCAAACAAAGTAAATACAAATTACATAATTCAGAAGTTAAGTAAATATTAATAGCCTACCATCACATCGGGATTAAATTATGTGTTTATCAGGCCAAATGAGGTAGCATAATATTATATAGAAAGTGACGTTGATAGTTTTGACGTACATGTAGATGTGATAGGTCCATATTGTAGCGAAGAAAAAGATCTCAAATTTAGATTTCTATTAAAAAAACTCGGCTTTCTAAGTCTGATAACTGTCATTATTTTAACGACGATAACATTCTGACTGAAGTGTTGACAACAAGCAAGGGATACACGCATAAATTGATACTGAGATGTCTTTTGTTTTATAAAATGTTTTAAATTTTCCAAATATAAGAATTACGAGTCAAAACCAAGTAAATACAAATGACATCATACAGAAGTTAAGTCAGTTACAAGTCAAAACTAAATCCGTACATTTTGTTTGTTATCCAAAACAATATTATAGAAGAATAAGATTTAAAATATATTACACTTAGTCTCTTTTTACATTAAAACAATCACAAACATTTTTTTATTCATGAAATAATAATTATCTTTAATCAAAACATTATTACTACCTCTGCATATAGAGAATTAACCAGAAAAACATTTAAACACTAAATACACACACACACACAAAATATATAAAATAGACGCCCCGTCTTTTCAACCTCACATGCATACACAGTCACACGAACACACAATACCCTCATACACCCCATTCACATTACACTTACTGAAAAAAAATGTTCATAATATGATTCCTCATTATTTTGACAAAATGAACACAGCGGACCCAACTTCACCAAGACGAACATGTGTAAATATTTTTAGTGTAGACAATATTATTCAACATCTTATACAGAAACTCTCGTAGTTTGATATCCAAAGTAGATTTCCTTAATCTGGGATATACCTTTTTAATGTCTTTTTTAGTCAAAGTATCAGCTGCATTGATTAATTAGACGCATATGATATTAAAACTGATATCATGAAAATTACACACTCTTTCTATTTCGTTCGAAAATGTTCTCCCTGTGAATGGTAATGCCTGATATAATTTAGTCAATTTTATTTTCGGTTGCAGTTAAGCCCATGTTCTCAAAGGACCTTCTTGATTTTAAATCATTCCTATCAACCTAATGATGTACTTTTTTTTCCAGGAATAAACCCTGATCGTACAGTGTGCAATCATCAATTAAAATAAATATATAATGGAAGATAATTTCATTCCTCTTTGAAACATCTCCAAGCATATAACATATCCATATAAAAATCCGATAAGTGCAAATTGAAAAATCGAAAACTTAAATACTGCTTCCATTTCATGTTCGGGTCTCCTATAATAAGTTTCCTTAAACACATAATTCTCTGCCCTTTAACAAATAATCGAAAGTCTGTGAGTGTAAGCCCCACTTGATCATAATCTAAAAGGACAGTTTCTCTTCTTAATTTTTCTCTATCATTCCATATTTCATTTCATTTTTCATTTATTTTCCACATTAAAAACCGGAAGAATATACAAGGCAAGAAAATACATTTTTATACATTTGACACAGAGCAAATGAAAAACAGATACATAGGCATAAAAGAACAATGAAAATCTACATCTGTTAACAAACATCAACATTAAAACATAAAAACATAAAAAGGTGAGTAATGTAGATGGGGCTAGAAAAAGCGAAGCTTATCGAGTCTAGCCCCGGTAGCAATGAAGGGGAAGTCCACCCTGAGAATGTGTGTGGCCAAGTAAAGGCGGAGTAAACCCATCCTTAGGATGGACTCTCCCTTCAAATGTCTGGTTTTATAATTAGATTAGATTGACCCGATGATAACATAATTGCGATTTGAAACATAATAATAATTGATTTTAAATTGATATGACTATTTAGAATTGCAAAGATATTGTTTATATTTATACTTAAATTGTCGTAATGATGCAGATTGTTTGAGACTGTCATCTAAAGTAGACCATGTAAGGTAACCCTGATACTTAACACTTCTTTGGCCAGTGGCAGTTCTGTAATAAATGCTATGCAAATTCTTGGAGTTTCGGGTGTTATAACAATGTACATCACTGTTGCATCTAAACCAGTTTTGAAGTGAGTTTGGTAATAGTCCCTTTTCAGACCTGTACATAAATTCTCCCAGTTGTAACCTACCTAATTCATATACAGTCAAAACCCTTAATTGTTTAAAGATATTGTTGGTATGTGCCAAATAAATGGAATCTTCCACATCCCTGAACCACCATTCTGGCATTAACATGTTCTTTTAACTTTTCTCTCTCTCTCTCTCTCCCTCTCTCTCCCCCTCTCTCTCTCTCTCTCTCTATATATATATATATGAATGTATTTCTTTGTATTTTATAATGTACAATTAGTTTCCGATGCATATAATTCTTCGTAAATCGTATACCGGCCGGATTGCTATGGCAGTTCTTCTCACACCGTTATCCCCATTGTTATGCATTGACACCCCGGATTCGTAATATTTGATTACTGGAATTTGACGCAATCCTGGACATTAAGAGACTAGTCTAACGTCATTACATATCACACCAGGAGCGTTTTTCAACGTTGATGGTAGGGGGGGGGGGATAAACAAAAACAAAAGGCACTTACAAAGGGTAACCTAAAAAAAAAGATGATAAAAATATATTTTTTGAGACATACATGAAGGTGTATACCTAAAGGCACTAAGCAAAAAGGACACTTTTCAAAGTTGAAGTTCGATTTCAAAATTATTGAGTTCGAAATCAACCCCCTCCCGCCAAAAAATCCTAGTAACGGGCCTGTAATCTGACATTGTTTTAGAGAACTTTGCTCCAAGCTATATGTTGTCGAAGTGGGGACTTCCTCCCTCCAAAGGTAGGCCTAAACGGTTTTGCATAAACCGTAAATTCAATATTTTAAGGCATTTTCGTACGATGATTGAGATATTTATTTTCGCTCAAAACTGCTCTAGATTTTGAGACGAGTTTTATACATGTCCTCATAATACGTCATGACCTTGTCAGAGCACCTGATGACGTCAGCCGGTAGTTGATCACGTGGTGGCATCTTCTTCGATGGGAGGAAGCAGCTACTCTTCATCGCTGTACCATAGAAATTGACCAAGTCCATCAGGAGATTGTCACCACTAGCTTTCATCCTTGTCAGCACCTTGGGTGACGCGTCCCACTGCAGTAAGCCGTTGCTGTACGGTAACCCGACGGCGGTGCAATAAGCCGAAAGCGTCTCGGCAGGTTTCGACAACAGATCGTTACCATCTATAACGACAGGGTTGGTATCAATATTCTCGTCTTGAATGTAATTCCAGAGGTCGTATGTTTCTTTCGTGCCATAGCCAGAGGGGAAGAAGCGGTCATCGCGTTCCACGTCGTAAGTCTCCTCAGAGGCAGCTTTACCTGTTTGTGAAAAAACAAAATCGTTTCACTACGTTGCATTAGACTTTATTACACCCGTTGTACACGAGGTGTCATTTTGCTGTCTTAGGACTTCTTCACCAACGTCAGCGGTGTTTGACGCGCTCTCCACGTGATCTCAAATAGATTATTTATTAATTTATTCATTCACCAATATTTAAAACAAAAAAATACAAATATACAAATGAAATATAAAATGCAAGTTAACATTATAGTCTAAAACATAAACATTGCATAAATTGTTACAACATAATAATAATAATAATGATAATAATAGTCTTTTAAAGTCCACTCCAAATTTTATTAAGTTAAACCGAAAATGGAAATTCTTTTTTCCCAATTGATCGTGAGCCCGGCAGCCACTGAGCAGCGCCAGATCGACGTTGCTCTATCCCTTATTGTTGAACGCCAAACAAGGTAGCAGCAACTCCTCTCTTTTAACGTCTTTTGGTATGACGCGACCGAGGTTCGAACCCACGACCTTCCGGTTCTGAGACCGAGCCAACAAATACTTAAAATAAATTATACGCTTATCTTCTTCAGGGCTCTGTTTGCATACAATTAAAACTGACCTGTAATAGGTAAAATGAATGGATCCAAGTCAATATTAGAATAAAAAACAACAACTAATAATCAGGGACGATTTGAGAATAATTAAAACATACAAAATAAGATTCAACACGAATTATCAACTTTTTGTTGATTAAAAACCAAGATACTAAAAATATATACAGTATATATATTTTAATGGGTGAATTAAAGATAAAATGGGACAGGTCGTGTAACTACCAGCACATTTTAATCAAAACATTGCATAGTTATTGATATGCTTAAAATACATTAAGCTGGAACAATGGACATATTGGTGGTTGTATTCCAAGGTGGCTGAAATCTAAGACATGAAGGAACATGATTATAGGGGGTTATATATAGCTACGGAGTTATTTCTACATGTGCTTAAGAAGGCATTTGAATGAATTGGGTGTTTTTGAGAATCGTATGTGGTCGGGTAGTTGGCATACAGAATGATTTTTGTTAAAAGCCGTTCGACAGTTTGGTGGTCTCAAAAGAAACTTGCCCGAGTTACGTGTGGTCCTGGTAGAAACATAGTCCACAAATGAAAGTCTCCCATACATGATGGCGGGAGCTAATTTATTTACAAACTTAAAAATCATGAGACAGAACGTCACAGGAGGCTCTATGAAGGATATAGTTTAGTTGGGGCCAGTTTAATTCACGGAAGACAACTTCAGAACGTGTCTCCTATGTACGGTTAGTCGGTTAGATACCATGTACGCTGCCCTTTTATGGAGTCTATTTAGGGTGTCCTTCTGATCTGCCACACCATACATTTGAGCGGGACAATACATCCCCAATACAATATAGTTAGTTGCAACTTATCAAAGAAATGCTTATTTCTACGCATGTCTCTTAAAGTCGAGGCAGTTGTCGATTATCACACCCCCACATCTAAGCATTTAACGTCATCCGCGCATTTCCACGGAGTCAAATTTCACTCTGAATGGCGTCAGCTGGGAGTCAACTCTATTCCTAGTTAAAGTGACACGGAAAAGGAGTCATCTTGACTCTGAATTGAGTCAATTCTCAGCTGATGCCACACAATCCGAGTCAAATTGATTCGGAATCCGTGTCACTTTAACTAGGAATAGAGTTGACTCCCAGCTGACGCCATTTAGAGTGAAATTTGACTCCGTGGAAATAGAGCACGGCCTTGTATACTAATTATTGATAGAACTAAAAACTGATTTTTCACATTGACCCACATTTTATTTATTATCAGATTTGTGGTACTGCAGTGATTTCGTACATTGGTATAGACATAAGTATTCAAGTTGACACCAGCTTAACAATTATTGTGAAGAGTTTCAGGAACGTCATGCGTTGACAAAGGCAACATACCCCACAATATATCATGATATATCATCTAGCTCAGTGAAGTGAGAAGGTCACTAGTTTTGGACAAAAGTACCAGCATACTTGCCCTTTTTCGGCATTCTACAAAATCTTACCTTTGTTTGCACTGATAATTGACCCACTAATAGACAATAAGCATTCCTTAACTCATGCAGAAAACTCGTATTTACATTTAAGAAACACACCAATGTTATGGGAACACCGACATGAATGTTTATTTCCTGTCTTCATATTATGAAGTCATAGTTGTTGATTAGTATTTGCTTTTGTGTTATTCTTACAAATAAAAAAGGATGACTTAATGAATGTCGGTATGCCATGAGATGCATTGTTCCTATACGCATATTCCCTGCATGGGCTCTGTGTTAATAGATACAGTAACAAGTAATGTATCAATTAAACAGTTATATTTAAAGAAAAAAGTAACACCGCGCTTTATATACCGCTTCAGATCTTAACGAGGCTTTACATTGGTGCCTGGCAAGAGTTAAACTCTGCTTCTAGTTAGTTCCTCTTTTCTCGTGCTATTTCTATTATATTGTCGTTTCATTGCGTATCTTTCTGTAATATAATTATTCATTGTATTATGTTTTGCATGAGAAAAAAAATCATTTGAATCACGCATTGGACCCCCCCCCCCACACCACACATACACACCCCACCCTTTACCTTCCAGTAGTCCTAGCTCAGAGAACTGATTGTACATCATCTTGCGGTAGGAGGCTATGGAGCGGACAGGGTGTCGGATGAGAAAGGTGTGTCTGTACCCCTTGGGGAGGTAGGCACGGTACTCCTCCGTCATTGCATTGCCCATGTCCTTTACCATCACGTGTTTGGCGGTAGTGGCTTCAAGACGACGCTTTACAGAACCGTATCTGTATATCAAAAATAAAAGAGGAAACAGCGTATTGTTTATAATCTTGCCCGTTGCCTTGCACACGAGATGCCCCCCTTTTTTAAAATTGGTGTTGTTGTTGTTGCTGCTAACGTATAGACTGCGTCAACGACTTGCGTATTCGATCTTTTTGTCAGATTTCGTTGAAACTTTCACGATACAGTCTACTTCTCTGATTTTTTTTAGCTTTCTTTTAGAGTTGTTTGCTTTCCAGGTTGGATTTCCCTTTGCACTAAACTATTTGAGCATCACTAAGCATCCCTCTGCAGATAACAGCTTTTCACACTCTTAACCCCCGCCCCCCCCCCCCGCCCGGCCCCGCCCCCTCCTTAGGTTCTGTCAACTTGACTGCCTATAATGTAAATATTAAAGGGAAAGTCCACCCCCAAAATAAGTTTGTTTCGATAGAGGCAGAATAATAAGAAAATCAGGTGAGTGAAAGTTTGAGCAAATTCTGAATGAAAATAAGAAAGTTATGAATTATTGAAGTTGTGATCAATCAAATACAAATTGGCAACTCTGTGACTTATTATAGTGTCGACCATTGGAAGATCCCGTGAACAACACTTTGCGCTTTGAGAATCACCAAATTATCTTCCCGTATGATTTGGGGAAAAATAAAGTGTTGCTGTATTCATATCTTTTCATAAAGCTTTATGTTAAAAGAATATCAGAATAGCAAATGCATTTCGAAATAGTCCCTTGGTATAACATTAATCGACTTTTTATCACACTGATCTACCCATGTGAACTAAGAACTAAGAGGGAGGGGGGGGGGGGGTAGTGAGCACCTTTTTTTTTTTTGGTCCTCGAAAATTAAAAAATTAGCACCCCCCCCCCCCCCCCAGAGCGCCAGGGGGGGGGGGGCCCAACCCCCAAAAAGGTAAAAATCACGTGATTTTACATGATTTTTTTTTCTCAAGGGGGGGGGGGCCTGGATCCGCCACTGGTAGTAGTAGTAGTAGTAGTAGTAGTAGTAGTAGTAGTAGTATTAGTAGTAGTAGTAGTAGTATAGTAGTAGTATAGAATTGCAGTAGTAGTAGTAGTAGTGGTAGTAGAAGTAGAAGTAGAAGTATGAGTAGTAGTAGTAGTAGTAGTAGTAGCAGTAGTAGTAGTATAGTAATAGAATAGTATGATGGGATATCTCACGAGAGGCGATCGGGCTCAAAGTGGGTATTTGCCATGCCGTCTAGGGCCTTTTTTACTCTCTGAAAGATCTCCTCATTGCCCTCATAGTCCATGGGTATGTTGAGCTTCGTTTGATGATTATACTCATTGCTGGTGGCGTTGCAGTAGGCATAGGGTTCAAACCACACCTCCGAGGCATCGATGAAGCTGAGACACTTGGCGAGTGCTGTCGAGATGGACCGAGGAACACACCACAGAATGGTCCTGCTACCATCGGTATTCGATGAAGACATTGTCTACTTATATGTTTCCAGTATCTTGTAGGAATGTTCAGAAATAGATCATCAATATAACCTTGATACGAGTAGGCCTATTATTACGTGTGAACGGCGATCAATAATATTGTTGATGAAATGTGTAGACTTTTCTAGCTGTTCTCGATCTTTTTTTGCTGTTTTTTTTTCTAGTAACTTTCTGACTGAACAGCACTTACAGCTCTGTTTCTCTGATGGTTTAATTCAAGTTGGCCATACAGCATTTAAACTTGTGTGTAGATATCCGAAATGTTATTTTCCTGCTGTCGATTTTCTTTTCCCAAAGATTTTCTCTTATTCTAAGACAAGTTGACTCCCACACAAATGATATTCGATTGTAATGTTTATCTTTCAGTCGTGGAAGTCTAGGCCTATATCTGCATTATCCAAGAAGAAGTTGAGCTTATTTCAATCCAGATCCGACATAAAAAAACAAGAAAATGACAACTGGAAGCTAGGAGCAAAATGTTTTATCAGTTGACAGGTGTATTGATATTCTGCTTCATCCAACTATATTATGAAAGAGCAACGCACAAATGAAATCATACTGATATCAATACCATAGTGCTTCCTTTTTGACCTATTTATGACAAAACGTGGATTTTGTACCTACATCATGGAATAAAAGAATGCCCTGTATGCACTTGTATGCCCGGTGTGAAAAGATGAAAGAATTCAGATTCAGATTCAGATTCAGATTCAGATCAGTGACCATATATATATATATATATATATTCAGTGTCGATTTACTAGGTTAAAAAAACAACTTCATAACCTCACTTTGTGCCATTATGTACCATGTACCATATATTTTTTTCCCAAGACATCATAATTATGCCATTATCTGTGAGGGCTTGTCATGAAATTTGACGATTCTCTTAATCAGTCGTTCTCAAAATAAAACCTATGATCGGATTTTTATTTTGAACATAAAAATTATTTTCAGGACATCTTATATATTGTAACGACCACCGCGGCCGTGACTTATATAAAGGCATGACTTATTTTTTTTAAAACTTTGTCATTAAGGTGTTAAAATTAACAAAGCCCTTTCTGAGTAAATAATATTAATCGCATACATAGATAGATCTATTGGTTTCTTAAACTTACTTGATAATTTGGAATCATAAAATTGTCCTCTGCTCTAAGACTTGACTACAGTTCTTTATTTTTAATACTGCTTGACAATAAAAGATTACCGTTGACCACTTCTACTGAGAAATGAAAATGAGTCATCGACTGTTTTCAAGCGCAGCGTTCGTCGACGCGCGAAAACGGTGTAGTGTCGAACTTACATGCAGCTAATCTGCTAAAATGCAAACGAACGCTTGACATTTGGATCATGTGTTGAGACGCTTAAAATGTTAATTTTTCATTATTTCTCAGTATATCTTATGAAATCGAATGAAAACAATTATTCAAGCAATGCAATTAGTTAATATTTAGTGTAACTGATATTCCACCTATAGTCTTGTCTATATGTCATTAGTTGTAGACTAGGAGATTTAATCAAAGCCCCACTGTACTACTTGTAGCTATACTTGCTCCCTCTACTTAGAAAACAATGCCTAACCGGTGACCATTGGTCCCCCATGATCCTCTTTTTCTTACATAAATTGAGAGCTGAGTTGATGAGATAGCCACTTGTCAGTGACCAACCTGGGTGGTCTAATCCCTCCTCGCCAAACTAGTACAGACGGCCTTTAAATGTTTTGCTCTAAATTATAAATGCCTCCTTTAATTCGAAACGTGCCCCGTTTCCTTGCGATAAGTGTCCCCATTAAAAAAAAGTCTATATAATCCCCTTTCCCTTCTCATAAATGCCCCCTTTTCACCCTTGATAAATGTCCTCATTAAAGTCTAATATAGGTACCCTTTTCCAATCTAATTAGTGCCCTTTTCCCTTTTTAATATGTGCCGGTCAAGTTCCTTCTGATTATGCCCCTTTCCCTTTTTAATAAGGGCCCCTACCACTTTTCACAAATGCCCCTATTACCATCTGATAGGGGCCCTCTTTCCTTAAACAAATGCCCCTTTTCCATTCTCATAAGTGCCCCATTTCATCTCTGGGGAGGTCCCCTTTTTCAGGTACGAGAAGTTCCCCATTTTCACCTTGGATAATTGCAGTTTGTAATGAGTGTCCTTTTCTCTTCTATAAGTGCCCCCTTTTCTTTCTCTATAATATGTGCCCATGCATGGTCATGATGTAAGTTAGCGACTTACAGAAACTATTTGGTATAAATGTGTTACTTATATGAAAGGTCCTTCCAGTCTTTCATAATTGGATTGTGCTTGTACGGGCTTAAAGCTTATCTGCCGTAGTTTACAGGGGGGATTAGACCGCTCTGCAAGGTCACTGGACAAGTGGTTATCTCATCAACTCAGCTCTCAGTTAACATAAGAAAAAGAGGATCATGGGGGACCAATGGTCACCGATTAGGCATTGTTTGTTATATAGAGGGCGCAAGTAGCTACCAGTAGTGCAGTGGGCCTTTAAAACCCACCAGGATTTGTTGTTTCCACTCTTTGTAAGGTGTAATTTTTCTCACTCTGAGCTAAAAAATCTTAATTTGTTTTGCTCGCTTGCTTCGCTCGATCGCTCCCAAATGAACATTCAGGCCATCACCCCCAACTGCATATTATGATGCTTAAGCAGTATCTTACCATGTTTACATATACATATTGAAATTTGAAATCTTTCCTGATAATGTGATCATAATTATGACAATGCCAATGGAGACCCCTCTATAAATTGTATATTTTCGCTTTGAGGTTTCGCTTTGTATAGGTGCCCCTTTCTGTTGGTGGTAACATTATTAATATCTTATTACAATTACAAATTATATATCCATATCCATAGTCTACTTGAATTTGCTAATTTCATTGCTTATTTCAATTTTTTTCCTTATTGTTCTATTTATATCAAAGCTTTTTTTCAATTATTATCGCACCAAAATTCTCAAAATGGCAACGCGTATACGTTGACGCGAACTGATCTTCTTGCATAATATATTGCATAACTTTCATAAGTTTGTTTTACTTATGAAATTTACGGCAACGGCGTCAACATGGCTGCATCTCGATACAGGAAGTTTCTTCGTTTGATGGAAGAATGGCCCGCAGATCCGTCGAAAAGGGGTAGAGATTTGGCGGTTACTATTCGGGAAAGAGTGGCACATGGTTTTAGAAGAGGTGAAAACTCTGAGGTTAGTTAATCTGATTTTAAACATGGCCATTTTCGTCCAACTTTACGTCGTGTAGTCCCTTGCGTTGTAATACGTGTGAGTTGTATTTTTCCTCGCAAAATGAGAACGTACAGATGTATGTAGGACGACATGCATGCACTGCTGTCGCGCCACGGCCCACACAGAGCTGCATTTCTATCCTGGCTGTGTATTAAATACTGTTTAGACGATTCTCAACATTTCAAACACCACTGTTCAAAACTCAACTGAGTTCACTCAAAATCGGTACTTTAGTGACAATTGACATGATTGATGATAGACCGAAAGCTTCAGTCTCTATAATTTAATAATCGTCGGTTGTTCCACTGAGACTACGTCTGGCTCCACTAGACCTCCGGTTATAGAGACTGAACGATCGCCTATGCCAGCCTATGTTGAAGATATCACGGCTAGATTTTAGCCGCTAGGCCCCTCCCACAAACATCACAAACTTGCCACGGCCGTATTGTTATGCCCCCAAAATCCCCCAAAATGTCATTTTACCTCGTCTCAGTGGAACAACCGACGATTATAGAGACTGAAGCTTTCGGTCTAGATTGATGACACCTAATTTAAATAGCAGTAAAAAAACTAATACAATCTTTTCAACTTAGTCTAAATAGATCTACCGAGGATGTCAAAAAAGAATACTTTGAAAATTTAAATCGTGAGTCTACTGTCAAACTTGCCGATCAGCCGGTTTGTATTCATTGTGTGCAATTAGTGTGCAATGTGTGTAGTGTGTGCAATTGATGCCTCTCAGTGCTAGAGGTCAATACGCATTTATAGCAAGCTCCTGTTTTGGTCGTTAATTAGAGCTAGCCACAGCTGGAGGTCAATTATCATCATTATTATTTTAGCTTTAGTACGGTTATGTAGGTTTCTTTACCAGGATCTGGGAATTCTAGTGACCACCATGCACCATGACGAGGGACTCTATAAATGCTCTTACTCTTTGGCCTCTCTCTTTCCATTTTGTGATGTTCTAATAGTCGTGTCGTCTGTGCGGCTAGGGTATACAGAAGTATCATGCAGAAGCGGATCTAGAGGGGGGGTTGGGGGGGTTGCAACCCCCCCAAAAAAAAAATCCGGGGACCATTTTTTAAAATCTTATCTTTTTTTTTAAACTTGTAATTTTATTTTATTCTATTTCTATGTATTTATTTCATTTATTATTATTATTATTATTATTATTATTATTATTATTATTATTTCTTTTTGGGGGGAGGGGGGGGGGGGTTGGGCGAACAAATGTCACAGAGTCCCTCCCTTGCCCCCCCCCCCCCCCCCATCAGCTTTTTTGAGGACACGGGCCACCGCCGAAGTGAAAAAAAAAAGAAAGAAAAAAGAACGCACGCTGGAGAGAAACCCTTTCAAGTGCAAATATTGTGAGAAGATTTTCAACTCATCTGGTAACTTAACCAAACACATGATAACTCTGGATATAACTGTGTATTTAACTGTTACTTGATTTAAAAAGACGTTATCATGCACTGCTTTTTATGGTCTCCATTGTGTTAATAGATGCCAGGAAAACATCACTTACGGGGTTCAAATAAACACCCCCAAAAAAATCGGGTCGCCGCTTCGCGGCTCGTGGACGATGCTCCGCATCGTCATTATTTTGGTCAACCCCCCCCCCCCCTTAGCAAAAAGCTAGATCCGCCCCTGTCATGCCATGTTTTTTTGTGTTACACTGAAATGTGAAACCACAAGATTGTAAGTGTGAAACAATATGATTATTCATTTGTTTTTCTGCAAACAAAATGTAACACATATTTTTTAAGCGCCTTGGATTAATTCTCATGTGCGAGAAGCTGCAGCT